AAGAAGAGGATCTGGCGCGACGCAAAGCGGAAGAGCTTCGCCAACGGAGCCTTGCTGAGTATTCGCCTAAAGCGGATGGGGCGAAGAGGAGAGCGCCTCCAATGAAGGGGGGTGGGGAAGCGCTGGCGGATGGGGCACGAGCGACACTGGCGGATGGGGAGCCGCAACTGGCGGCAACACCGGCGGATGGGGCGCTGCATCTGGCGGCGAAACAAGCGGATGGGGCATTTCCGGCGAAGGTTGGGGGGCTTCCGGCGAGGACCAAAGGGGGGAAGAAGAGGAAATTGAGGCAGAAGCTCCAATTTTTCCTCTTGGTCGCCCTCCGCGCCGCACTGCTCCTGTACTACCCCCACCTGACATCCAGCCAGGAAGTGACCCCTGGGACACCATCGACTGGGGCAATGAGCCCTCTACTCCGCGTCGCATCGTCTACGGGCCTGCCCCCGAGCCGCGCGAACCAACCTTCTTCCAAGGAACTATCCTCGGAACCAACATTCCCCTCTCCACCATTCTTGACAGGGAATTTCTTGCGCTGATGCTGACGACGGCGAATGGAGACGATGAAGCTGAAGAAACAGTGGCGGAACCTGCCCAAGCACCTGACGAGGACCCCGCAAAAGCACACACGCGCTACATGCGCACATCTGGATTCCGCGCTGACGATGCCATCTGGCACCAGCGCCTCGGTCACCCCTCGCGCGTAACGCTGAAGAACTGCATCGAGGCCAGTGTGTTTGCGCCTGGCGCACTCCTGCGCCCTGATGGCACCGAAGTAAGGGGCACGACACATCCGCGCAATTGCACTGTCTGCCCCGAAGCCGCACTAAGCCACCAACCATTCCCCTTGCTCGAGCCCGGAACAAACCGCTACACAAAACTGGAGAAGGTATACAGTGACTTCATCAACGTAGAAAACTGTGAAATGAACGATGAGCTGTATACGCTCACCTTCGTCGATGTTGGAACGCGCTACGTGTGGGTTGTAAACATGGAGGCGCGCAGCAGAGCATACGAAGTGTTTAGTCTATGGCTGGCGCACGCGCAGCGGCAATCTGGGGAGAAACTGAAAATTTGGCAATCCGACGGCGCAGCGGAGTTCAGGAGCAAGGAGATACAAGATTACCTGGCGCAGAAGGAAATCGAGCGCCATATTTCCCTCCCCTACGCAACTCAGCAGCAAGGCGTAGCCGAGCACACGAATCGTACGCTCATGACAAAGGTGCGGGCGTCGATGAAGCACTCGAAGCTTCCGCCAACTTACTGGACCTACGCAATGCACCACGCCGTGCGAGTGCACAACCTGCTATCGACCACGGCCATCACCGGCAACTCATCACCGCATGTGAAGTGGACAGGGACCAAGGGCAACACATCAATGCTCCGCGTGTGGGGGTGCATGGTGCAGTACCGCCCACCAACGTCAACCATCGGGAAGTTTGCAAGCCGCGCGCGCTGGGGGGTTCACCTCGGCATCAGCCACGAACACAAGGTGTGGCTCATCCTGGATCTCATGAGCCAGAAGGTAAAAAATGTGCGTGACGTCATCTTCTACGAGCGGCTCTTCCTTCGGCAATTTCGCGAAGACGACCAGGCGAACGCGAATCGCGTCTACGCCAACAACGGACACAGCTATGCTTCACCTGAGGACGAAGCTGTAGCAGCCATTCTGGAGCAGGACCCCAGAGGCGAGTTCACAAGAGGCGATCGCGACGACGACGACGACGACGATGATTCTCCTGGAGGAGGAGCAGGCGGAGGCGGAAGCGGAAGCGGCGGAGGCGCAACACCGCCAGCACCACCTGAACCAGAAAGCGACGATGACAATGTGCAGGAAGTCATCCCACAGCACCGCCACGATAGCACCATTTCGGGACTTCAACTTCTCGGGCTCCACACTGCCACCACAACGGTGCCACGTGTCATCGAGCCGAAGAATCTGCGCCAAGCACTCACGGGACCACACAGCAAGGAGTGGCGTGAAGCGATAGATGCGGAAATCAAGGCACTTGAGTATCGCGACACCTGGGTGCTCGTTGATCGAGCGGCAATCAAGGGGAGAAGGATTCTCTTCGGGAAATGGGTGTTCCGTGTGAAAACCGCAGCGGACGGCACGATTGAAAGATTCAAGGCGCGGTGGGTCATACGTGGCTACAACCAGAGGCACGGCATCGACTTCGACCAGACGTTTGCGCCGGTCAGCCGTCACACCTCCGTCATAATCCTCCTCGCCATCGCTGCCGCACGACACCTCCCGCTCCGACAGATTGATGTGAAGAACGCGTTCCTCTACGCGTTAGTAGATGCTGTGATCTATGTGGAGCAGCCGCATACATATGGTGATGGAGACTCACGCGCGTGCCAGCTGCGAAAGTCCCTTTACGAGATTAAACAAGCGCCAAGGCTTTGGCAGCAGTATCTGCACAACATCCTGCTCGAGATAGGCTTCAAACAGCTGCCTCATGATTCCAGGATGTATCGCTGCAATTTCCGTGGCGAATACATTCTACTCACGGTCTACGTCGACGACCTCCTCTACACAGGGTCAAGCAACGAATTGCTTGAGCAGTTCGAGAAGAACCTCGCGGGGCGCGTTGATATTACCTGCAAACACGACGTGAAGCAGTTCCTCGGGCTCAACATCTCCTACTCGCCAGAAGCCATTCACCTTTCAGCAGCCAAGTATGCATAGGAACTTGGCAAGCGCTTCAACATTGCACCTGCACCACTCTCCACCCCTTACCGCACTCCAGGACCCAACCACAAGCCTGACAACAAAGCCCTGTCCCTTGCTGGGCTTCATACCTACCAGCAGCAGCGGGGATGCCTACTCTTCGCCTCTGTCACCTGCAGACCCGATCTCTCCTACATCGCGAGCCAGTTGGCCCAGTACTCTCGCAAACCAATGGCTGAGAATCTGCTAGATCTTCAGCGGGCACTTCAATTCTTCATCTCCACGCCCAATGTTGGGCTCTGCTACTCCACCATCCCAACCTCGTCCTTCAACCTCATCGGCTACGTGGACGCTGATCATGCCGCTGACCCCGACAATCGACAGTCCAGGACAGGCTTCCTCTTCCGCCTTGAGCCCAGCGGCCCCATCTCATGGAATTCGCAGAAATAGGAGCTCGTTGCCCTGTCATCAGCGGAGGTCGAGTTCCTCGCAGCAACAGCAGCTGTTCGCGAAGTCCTCTACCTCCAGGAGCTGCTCCAAGAGGCGAAAATTCCGGTTTCGCCGAATTTCCGCCTACACTGTGACAACCAGAGCGCGATCAGGATCGCGAACAAGCCTGGATTCGTCAACCGCTCCAAACACATCGCGCTACGGTACTTCTTCGTCAAAGACGAAGTTGACAAGGGCAAGGTTGACCTCACCTACTGTCCGACGGGTGACATGGCAGCTGACTTTCTCACGAAGAAGCTGTCACATCAGCAGTACCAGCACTGCTCCGAACTCAGCGGAGTAGTCAAGCGGGTCAAGACTCGCTACGGCCAGGAGTGAAGGGGGGTGTTACGAATAGTAATTATTGAAGCATCACTGTGCACTCCTTACCGCAGCAATCGAAGCACGCACTACCAAGGATGAAGGCGAAAAGGCAGAAGTGACGTGAAGCATCATACGGTTACGAAAAGGATATGGACCGTCGGGCAGACAGCATCAGGAAGCAGCAGTGGCGAGGATTCTGCCCAGACAGTTTCGTAACGTCTGGAGTCGCACGTTTGGATTTCGCTGTAATAAGGGAATGTACCCCTTAGAGTACATGGCTAGCTAGGTCGATTCGTATTCCTTCCTATACTCTTATTTATACCTTTGTACTTCCATGTTTCAATCATCTCAAGCATTTTACATCCACTCTGCTATTGAGGTCAAGGGCCCACCACCACTACTCAGTCATGTGCGAACCTTTCTGAGGTGATCCTAGGGACGATCAACTTCTGATCACAGCACATGCAATAGACGATGTAGGGAAAAATGTCGGCCTGCCGGCAAAACCATGCGGTTACCCGTGTTTATGGTTGAGGCTCCCCCAGTTGCATGCCATCCAGACGGGGTTTATTTTTTTCTGACCGCGGGCAGATAACAGTCCGTCAACCTCTTTCCCCTACGGCCGTCTATTGTATGCATCTGTATAATCGCACTGGCATAAGTTGAATGCCGTTGAAAATGGCCCCGAGAAGTTAGGCGAAACCAAAGCCAACCAGCACCTCGACTTTTCTGCCTAGCTCCCTCACCACCCATCGCCCAACTTTAGTAAAGTTTGTTGGAATAACCTAAAGGTTACAGTAACATTCCCGAAGGCTCTCCACTCGCGCGTCACTCCATAACGAAGCTACGCGTCTGTATCATTATCGCAATAGCTCATATCGAGCATGCGGAAGGTCGAGGGTCACCCGAAGGTCAACAGTCGAAGACAGTCAACGGTCGTGACCCTTGACTGCCCAGTAACCGCACTAGGAAGTTACGCGATGCAATACGGTATTTGTCAAGAATAGTAATAGTCGTGGTTACTGTAGCAATGCAATTCAATTAATAAGAGAATGTACCCCTCAGAGTACATGGCTAGCTAGGATTGCTATTTATATCTTTGTACCACTATCCTTTAATCATCTTGTTCTCTTTCAACTTATTAACAAGGTCATTACAAATACTTCATTTGTCTTCTCTCAGACTTGACAGACTTATCCTATCCACTACGATCCTTCACTTATAACAACAAAGTTGAACAAGTTGGGCCTTGTGCTTTAACATTAGCATTGACAACATCAGTAATGACATCTAACCCAGTAAACATCTTTGTTAGCCTATCTGAAGAGCATTTTGAGCTTGTAAACCCTTGCGCTGCCCACGCCATCGTCATTTTCCTTAATGGCATTTGCCTTGCCAAAATCAAGCTTATCTGAAGAGCATTTTGAGCTTGTTGATCCTTGCGCTGCGCGCACCATCGTCCATGAGCGCTCCCTGCACCATCTGATCCTTGACTTCGAGTCGACCCATAACATACTTATCGGAAGAGCATTTTGAGTTCGTTGATCCTTGCGCTGCGTGCGCCATCGTCCATAAGCGCACCCTGCACCATCTGATCCTTGCGCAGCTGCACCTTCTGCATGCGCTCCTCTACTGAGTCGCGCACTATGAAGCGCGTTACTGTAACGGGGCGAGTCTGCCCTATGCGGTGCACACGCATCACTGCCTGCTCCTCCACTGACGGGTTCCACCAGGGGTCCTGAGGGGTTGGGTAGGGTAGAGCAAAGAACAAAAGGGTGAAAGGTGGTGCTTTGAGTTCCACACATCGGAGCTGCTCCACCACTGACGGGTTCCACAACGGGCGGGTCCTGAGGAGGTTGGATGCAGCACAGAACAGACAGGTGAGAGGCAGTGTTACCATGAAGAACGCATGTTCTTCAGTTTTCAAAAATACCATGAAGATACCATGAGGAGCGCATGTTTGGGAGTTTTGGAACATACCATGATGAAGGCGTGTGAGGCAGCAGTGAGGTTGAGCCCCACGCCGCCCGCCTTGAGTGACACCAACAGCACCTCCACCTTGGGACTCTCCTTCAACGTATTGGTAGCTCGTAAAACGTACCATGACGAATGCGTGAGAGGCAGCAGTGAGGTTGAGCCCCACGCCGCCCGCCTTGAGCGACACCAGCAGCACCTCCACCTTGGGATTCTCCTTCAACTCGTTTATTGCCCTCTCCCGCTGCTGCTGTGACATGCTGCCATCCAGTCGCACATACTGCACCTTGGCCCTGCATGCACGCACGGATGTAGGGATGGGGAGGGGGAGAGGACGGCGGAAAAGGGAAAATGAAGAAAGTACCTCTCGTGCTGCCATCCAGCCACACGTACGGCACCTTGGCCCTGCATGGAAGAATGGATTGGGAGACAGAAGGAAGATTGGCTGAGGTGAGTGACCCACATGCAGCAACTAAACTGCTCCCGCGCCCGCTGCTGCTGCGACATGCTGCCGTCCAGCCGCATGTATGACACCTTGGCCCTGCTTGATCACGGGATAGGGAGGGAGACAGCAACGAGAAAAGAGAATCAGGAGGAATTCTTTACACCAGTGGTTCCGAGACTCGTTCTCTTGTCCTCACTCCCAGGCCCTAGAAGCAAGTCCCTCCCAGCTGCCCTCTCACTTGTCTGTGCTGTGCTTGCCTGCCAGTTCTCTTCACACCTTTTGAGTGAATGTAATCCCCAATAAGTCAAGAAAGTAAAATGAGGTGCCTTAATATTAGACCCCTCTTCGTGCCACCTCATTCATTATTGACCCTTCTACACACCTTTTGAATGCAATCTCCAAAAGGTCAAGAAACGCCGTCCACTGGCTGAAAACCACGCTCTTCTCCCCTCCTCCCCCCCCATTCGCTCCCTGCCGAGCCGACGCCGCCCGGATTTCGCCCAGGCACTGTAGCAGCTGGCGGACCTTCACAGAGTCCTGCCAGCTGGCCTCCACGTCCAATGAGAAGCGGCTGGCACGTGGCACTGTGATGAGCTGGCTGCGCAGGATTTGCCGACTGAATTGGGAGGATTGGTTGGGAGGAAGGCGTGTGGGGGAAACGCAGAGGATATTTCGTTTTTGGGAAGGGGTGTGGAGTTAGAAAGTTGGAAAATACCGTTTAGCGTTTAGTTATGTCTTTGAGAGGTTATGATGCAGAGCGTTTAGCGTTTAGTTCACTAGCTCACACACAGACGGCATCATCACTGCATCATCCTCCCCTGACTCTCCGGTCAACTAAAAGGCTCACACATACGGGCAGACAGGGCAAGGGCCGCCATTGCCTGACGGCCTCCAGGCGATAAGGACGAAAATCTGGCATGCCATGTGAGCACACGGCATCAACACCGCATCCCCCAGTGACTTTCTAGTCAACTGACTAAAAGATTCACGTTCCAGCACACTGGGCAAGGGCCGCCGTTGACAGACGGTCTCCAGGCGGTGAGAAGGCATTCCCGGCACGCAATGTGCGCACAGGGCATGAACACCGCGTCCTCTGCTGATCATTATTCTACAAAAAGATGCACACGTACCGGCAGACAGGGCAAGGGCCGCCAGTGCTAGAAGGCCTCCAGGCGGTGAGAAGGCATTCCCAACATGCAATGTGCGCACAGGGCATGAACACCGCGTCCTCTGCTGATCATTATTCTACAAAAAGATGCACACGTACCGGCAGACAGGGCAAGGGCCGCCAGTGCTAGAAGGCCTCCAGGCGGTGAGAAGGCATTCCCAACATGCAATGTGCGCACAGGGCATGAACACCGCGTCCTCTGCTGATCTTTGACCTACTAGAAGGATGCACACGTACCGGCACACGGGGCAAGGGCCATTGACCGAAGGCCTCCAGGCGGTGAGAAGGCATTCCCGGCATGCTATGTGCGCACAGGGCATGAACACCGCGTCCTCTGCTGATCATTATTCTACAAAAAGATGCACACGTACCGGCAGACAGGGCAAGGGCCGCCAGTGCTAGAAGGCCTCCAGGCGGTGAGAAGGCATTCCCAACATGCAATGTGCGCACAGGGCATGAACACCGCGTCCTCTGCTGATCATTATTCTACAAAAAGATGCACACGTACCGGCAGACAGGGCAAGGGCCGCCAGTGCTAGAAGGCCTCCAGGCGGTGAGAAGGCATTCCCAACATGCAATGTGCGCACAGGGCATGAACACCGCGTCCTCTGCTGATCATTATTCTACAAAAAGATGCACACGTACCGGCAGACAGGGCAAGGGCCGCCAGTGCTAGAAGGCCTCCAGGCGGTGAGAAGGCATTCCCAACATGCAATGTGCGCACAGGGCATGAACACCGCGTCCTCTGCTGATCATTATTCTACAAAAAGATGCACACGTACCGGCAGACAGGGCAAGGGCCGCCAGTGCTAGAAGGCCTCCAGGCGGTGAGAAGGCATTCCCAACATGCAATGTGCGCACAGGGCATGAACACCGCGTCCTCTGCTGATCTTTGACCTACTAGAAGGATGCACACGTACCGGCACACGGGGCAAGGGCCATTGACCGAAGGCCTCCAGGCGGTGAGAAGGCATTCCCGGCATGCTATGTGCGCACAGGGCATGAACACCGCGTCCTCTGCCACCTCCAGACACACCGGACACTCGTCCGCTCCGTGTGTTGCCCCCACACCCTCCCCGGCACGCTGCGCCTCTCTCCTCCTCTTGAGGCCTTCTATTACTGATTGCACATACTCCCGAGATGGGCCGCTGTGAGTTTCGTCCCACCCAATTGGACCGTTGCCTGATTCTCCCCATGCTCCTGCAGCTGCATCGGCAGCAGTGATGCTGCCACCAGCGGCACCTGCTGCTCCCTGCAAGGAAGATGCGAGGAACCTTCGTCCCAGCTTGCTGAGGTCTTCGTCGTCCATTGTATCGGAGCGGCTTAAAATGAGAAACGGGTGGTCGCAGATCTGATTGGTGAGTGTGGGATAGAGAGAAAGGAACCAAGAAGGGGATGCATGACGTGCAGCTTGTGTTGAAGTGTCTCAGATAGTCCAAGTGTCTCAGATAGTCCAAATGTCTCCGATAGTCCAAATGTCTCAGATAGTCCAAATGTATCTGATAGTCCAAATGTATCTGATAGTCCAAATGTCTCTGATAGTCCAAATGTCTCTGATAGTCCAAATGTCTCTGATAGTCCAAAACCCAGCAGCGTGGCTACCTACCTGCATGCTCCCTGCCACCCCATCACCCAATGCCCACCATCCGTACACACCCATCATGCAACACCCACCATCCGTACACACCCATCATGCAACACCCACCATCCGTACACACCCATCATGCAACACCCACCTGCTGCACACACACCCTCCACCCTCCGCCCTCCACTTACCACCACCACCCACCACCCACTGACCAGCACCCAGCAGCACCACACAGCACCCACCTGGCGCAGGCGCAGCAGCATTTCAAGGATGGAGGCATAGTTGTGCAGCACTTTTCCCTGTGCCACGAAGCTGTCAAACTTGACCTGGTGGGGGTGACGGGGAGAGAGGGAGAGAGATGTAGAGAGGAACGTGAGAGAGTAGGAAGGCGGGAAGGGAGAAGGATGGAGGCATAGTTGAGCAGCATTTTGCCCTGTGCTACGAAGCTGTCAAACTTGACCTGGTGGGCGGCGTGGGGAGAGCAGGATGCGGGTGGAGCCGGGACGCACAGATAAACATCGGGAACGGTGCAAGAGGAGCCGGGAACGGTGCAAGAGGAGCCGGGAACGGTGCAAGAGGAGCCGAGAACGGTGCAAGAGGAGCCGGGAACGGTGCAAGAGGAGCCGAGAACGGTGCAAGAGGAGCCGAGAACGGTGCAAGAGGAGCCGAGAACGGTGCAAGAGGAGCCGAGAACGGTGCAAGAGGAGCCGGGAACGGTGCAAGAGGAGCCGAGAACGGTGCAAGAGGAGCCGAGAACGGTGCAAGAGGAGCCGGGAACGGTGCAAGAGGAGCCGAGAACGGTGCAAGAGGAGCCGAGAACGGTGCAAGAGGAGCCGGGAACGGTGCAAGAGGAGCCGAGAACGGTGCAAGAGGAGCCGAGAACGGTGCAAGAGGAGCCGAGAACGGTGCAAGAGGAGCCGGGAACGGTGCAAGAGGAGCCGAGAACGGTGCAAGAGGAGCCGAGAACGGTGCAAGAGGAGCCGAGAACGGTGCAAGAGGAGCCGGGAACGGTGCAAGAGGAGCCGAGAACGGTGCAAGAGGAGCCGGGAACGGTGCAAGAGGAGCCGAGAACGGTGCAAGAGGAGCCGGGAACGGTGCAAGAGGAGCCGGGAACGGTGCAAGAGGAGCCGGGAACGGTGCGATTGGGACACAAGCGAGGATACAGTTCAACACTAGGCTTTCCAAAAAGCGACATCTATGTGAATGCCATGAATGAATGACCATGATGCCGGCCGGGCATGTGGCCTGGCAGGGCGGCATATCTTGGACTTATTCGAACCTTGGACTTATTATGCAGCGCATCGTAGAAGTCCCTTTCCTCCGGGGAGAAGTCGCATGAGATCACGCGGAAAGATATGGGCGGCAGGACAAGAATCCGCTTGCCCTCCCTGAAAATGACAAGGATGGGTGAAAAACACAGCAGATGCAGAAGAGTAGATTCACAGAGTATTTCTGAGAATTCTCAAAAATACCCTGAAGGATCACGAAAGAAGCAGATTGTCGGTGCACTGGTATGCTCAATGGGTTCATAGACGTCTCAATTCTTCCTATCTTAGCATTCTCGGAACACCATTCTACATTTAACTCTAAAACGCCCAAAACTACCTACCTGTCTTTAGAGTCCTTGGTTCGTCGCAGCATGAGTGGTTTGAGCTCCAAAGGACCACTCATGCTGCAGATTGACACAGCAGCTTGAAATGAGGGTGTTTTTGAGACGCCTCAAAAACAGATTGATGCAGCAGCCCACCACTCATGTCGCCTTGCTCGTACGGCTGCTGCACCAGCCGCTCCCACCCAGCCCCACTTGACTCTCCAGCCGTCTCAGAACATCCATCTCGTGTTGAAACGTCGACTTGTATGTATTTCTATCTGGTGTTAAGGCGTCTCAATGTACCTGTCTTTCGAATCCTTGGTTCGTCGAAGCATGAGTGGTTTGAGCAGCCCCTGCAGCAGTTTGAAGCTGCGCATGTCGCCTCGCTCGTACGGCTGCTGCACCAGGCGCTGCCACCACCCCCAGTTGTCCCACGGCTGCACCCGCAGGAAGCGCAGCAGACTGTACACGTCCTCCAGTTGGTTCTGCCACGTCATGTGCCACGTCATGTGCCACGTCATGTGCCATGTCATGTGCCATGTCATGCAAGGATAATAGAGGTGGCCTTTGAGTCAACCGAACTGGGCATGGTGAGCAGCAGTGGCTGGATTGGATTAACCAGGGCGTCACATCCAAACTTTATCCCATCTCCTTCCCCGCCCCCATTTGCCTTGTTCCTGCCTGGTCTATAGATTGCAGTGAGCAACCTCTTTGTTGCACCCCTTCCACCCCTCACCTGGATGGGCGTGCCAGTGAGGCACCAGCGGGAATCAGCTTGGAGCGCAAAGGTGGCAGCAGCAGCACCAGAGGCGCGGTTCTTGATGCAGTGAGCCTCGTCCAGCACCGCTCTGCACCACTGCACACTGTGCAGCGGCCCCTGCCGCACCGCCCCTGCTGCTCGTGCTGCTCCTGCTGCTGATGCTTGTGTCGCCACACTGCCCTCTGCCGTGTGCTGGAGCTGGTTGAAGCGCTGTGAAATGGTGGGATTCGCGGTGGGAAGTGAGGGAACAAAATGTTTTCAGGCGCCTCAAAAACAGGCAGAGGGGCTTGCTGTGCCGCCACATTGTCGTCTGTTTTGTGCTGGTTGAAGCGATGGTGGGAAGTGTAGGGGTTGGATGGGAGGGAAGGGGGAGGTCTTTTGAGACGTCTCAAAAGTATCCTGCTGCACATGCTTGTGCCGCCACACTGCCCTCTGCAGTGTGCTGGTTGAAACGCTGTGAAATGGAGGATTCGTGGTGGAATTCTCAAAAAACATAGACCTCAATAGAGCATCATCATCTCATCAGAACTCACCTTGTACTCTTTTTGAGAATTCTCAAAAAACATAGACCTCAATAGAACATCATCATCTCATCAGAACTCACCTTGTACTCTGCCTGCAGCGTGCCGTAGGTGGTGATCACCACATCGTGTTGTGCCAGCAGGCGAGCCTCATCCTGCCGCTGAGAGCCATAGTAGACCATCACTGACAGCACACCCGGTGCTGTGTGCGCCTCACACTCCGCCTGAGGTGGGGAAACAGAGAAAAGAGGGGAGTATAGGAAGAGGAGAAGAGGGGAAGAGGGGAAGAGGGGAAGAGGGGAAGAGGGGAAGAGGGGAAGAAGAGAGGCAGAGTATCAGTGAGTTGACTCAACAGCGGCTTGGAGTCCCGCCACTGAGAGCCATAGCACCCCATCACTGACAGCAGGCTTAGTGCTGTGTGCGCCTCACGCTCCGCCTGAGGTGGAGAGGGAGGGGAGGCAAGGGAGAAGGGAGAAGGGAGAAGGGAGAAGGGAGAAGGGAGAAGGGAGAAGGGAGAAGGGAGAAGGGAGAAGGGAGAAGGGAGAAGGGAGAAGGGAGAAGGGAGAAGGGAGAAGGGAGAAGGGAGAAGGGAGAAGGGAGAAAGGAGAAGGGAGAAGGGAGAAGGGAGAAGGGAGAAGGGAGAAGGGAGAAGGGAGAAGGGAGAAGGGAGAAGGGAGAAGGGAGAAGGGAGAAGGGAGAAGGGAGAAGGGAGAAGGGAGAAGGGAGAAGGGGAGAGATAGGTGAAAGTAGTGCAGTGCAGAGTACCCAACCTTTGTCATGAAGCAACGAAGGAAATAGGTGAAGGAAGCGGCGAAGCACCCTCGATCGATAGAAGGAGAGATGCGATGCGACAGGGGAGTCGGCACAGGAGACAGGGCAGACTGGCTGAGGAAATTCTGGGGATTGCCTTTTACGAACTTTCTAATATCAGATGCTGAGGCATCTCGAACATGGGGATTGACATTTGCAAATTCTCAGCAGTCAATCCAGTAAGTTCGAGGAAAAAACAATGGAGACAGGAGGGAGGACAGAGGATGTACCTTCCACTGGCTTAGGAGTGACATGGGGCACACTATGAGCGTCCCTCCTCGCACCCTCCTGTCCCTGTCCCTGCTGCTGTTGCCGCCCCTGCCTCTCCACTCCTCTACCTCCCTACCACCCTCTTCTTGTATCTCCTCTGGTGTCTCCTCTACCCTCCACGTCTCACCTCCAACCTCCTGCACCTCTGCATCGCTGTCAGCACCGCCGGCATCGCTGTCAGAACTGTCACCATCAGCACCACCACCACCATCAGCTCCTTCCCCACCAGGCAAATACTCCTCATCCTCATCCTCTTCCTCACACTCATTCTCATTGTCATCCCAATCGACTTCAACTTGGTCTAAAACTACCATGTCATGATCCTCTCCTATCCTTCCCTCTCCTGTCCCCTCCTCCCCCTCCCCCATCAGCCCCTCCTGCCTCACCCCTTCCCCCACCTCCCTTTTCACTCGCTTCTTCCTCCTTGAACCAACACGAATCCCTCTCTCTGCTCTCACCACCGCACTGCACTCCACTCTCTTCCGCTTCACACCCTCAACGGCCTCCTTATCCCGCTTACAAGCAGCACCGTTTGCAACAGCACATTCCTCATTTCTCTTTCCCCCTCGCCTCTCATCCCTCGCTTTTTTCCCCACCACTCCCGGTTTCCACCCTAGGCCCCTCTCGCCCTCCCTCACTATCCCCCTCGCCCTCGCCCTCTCCCTCTCCCTGTTCGCCTTGCTCGCAGCAATGAGAGCAATAGTCATAACCGTCTTGCCCAGACCCATGGCGTCTGCTAAAATCTGAACCAAGTGAAAGTGAAAGGGAGGAGGCGGGAAGGGGGTGGAAGGGGGAACAGGGGAAAAGGAGTTGATTGAAAGCAGTGCGATAGTGTATACCTGCCTAGCATGAACCCAAGGCGCCTGCTAGCATATGAATGGAGAGAGAAAATCCGTGGGGAAGTGGGGAAAAAGGGGGTGGGGGTTGATGGACGGGATAGGTGTGGAGGCGGTCCAAAGACGTCTCAAAACTCGATTCACATGGAGAATCAGAAGCAACGGCACAATGGATCCAAAGATATGTCTTGTCTAAACCCATGATTCCAGTGCTTTTGTTCCCGTTTCCCCTCCACCACCACCCTGAACTCCCTCAATCTCCTCCGCCTCTTCGCACTCACCCCTCCTCTGCTTCTCTCCATTGCGCTTGGAAACTCCAGGGTAACTTCCCCTGAGAAAACGTTGTGGTAGAATGGCGTGCCACCACTGAGATGGTCCAAGAAGCAGAGTCAAAGAAACGAGAGAGGCGGGTGGGAAGAGAATCAAAGTAGGAAGAGGGAGGGGGAATGGACGATGGAAGGGGTTGGGAGGGGGAAAGGTGGAAAGGAGGGACTGGGGAGCATGAACGAGGGTAATGGAATGGAGGTACTCGGAAATAAGTGTAGTGATAACGATATTGCAGGGCGTTTGTGTGAAATTCTTCCACCCTTGTATAGAATGGTTTGATATTGTGAGCAGTGACATGTGAAATATTTGTTTTACAGAAAGAGAACTGGAAGAACAATCGAGAGTGATGCATTTTTTGAGACGTCTCAACAAACGAGCGTGATGTATCTGAGACACGTGTAATGTGCAATGTGGAACGTGCAGCGTTGTGAAAACATGCTGTGGGCATTGAGACTTGGATGCTCGCACGCACTTGTGCTGTAGAGTGTACTCCTCCCAGCACGGGTGCAGTGTATCACACTCATCCCATGCACTCGTCCTCTTGCCGCCATCACCACCATCACCACCACCACCACCATGAGCACTATCAGCAGCACTGCCCGGCACAGGCTGCCCAAGGGTTTCCATGGAGAGCATCCAGTGCAGCGCCTGCTTTTGGTAGCACCGCAGCTGCGAGGTCACACCCGGGGGAGGCTCCATCTCCTGTCCGGAGGGAAGCGGTTGGAGATAGGGCGGGAATGAGAAGAAAGGCCGGGAGTCCTTAGGCAGAAAGATCTTGTAGAATACAGTTCTGAGGCGCCTAGACGAGAGCACGAATAGCAAGGAAAGGGCCTTTTGTTCCCATGCCTAGCACGGTCTGCCCCGTGGTTTCCATGGAGAGCATCCAGTGCAGCGCCTGCTTCTGGTAGCACCGCAGCTGCGAGGTCACACCCGGGGGAGGCTCCATTTCCTGGGGGGAGGCGTGTGTTAGGGAGGCGAAAGGGCGGGAAGGGGCGTGAGAAATGCCTGATGCCCCTCAGCAGACAGATATTGTAGCAGAGGGTTTAGGGGCAGCATGCAAAGTGAAAGGATTCCTTAGTTTGTTCTCATCCCCTCCCCACTAACCGGCAGCGCCTGGTTGTTGGTGGTGACTTCTGATTTCCCTCTGATCGCCCTCTGATCGCCCTCTGATCGCCCTCTAATCGCCCTCTAAGTTGACTCAAACGTCACCAGGCAGTGAGGTGAAAGGAGTCCCAACCCAACTCACCGGCAGAGCTTGGTTGTTGGTGGTGACACCCACGTATCGGTTCACCTCCTCATCTGTCATCGACTTTGCCTCTCCCTCCCCCTCCTCGCTACTCTCACCCCCTGCAACAGTCGCCCGCACCCTCTTAGACGCTGCCTGCTGCCAGGTCGAATGAGCGCAAGTGGGGGGGGGTGGGTGGTGCGAGGGCAGTGGGAGGGGTGTGAGGGGAGTGCGGAGGGGGGAGGGCAGTGGGGTTGATTGAGAAGCACAAGGGTGAGTGAGTGGGTGACAGAAGATTGACAGTGGGTAACAAATAGGTGAGTGTGTGTAAGAGATACCAAATCAAGGAAAGAGTAATTTCATGCGAGCCCACGCAGTCTCTACTGCTTGAATTCCTCATCCAGTATGGAAACGCACGCAGCTTGTCTTGTGACCCGTCAGCACGCTAAGGCTGCTCATCAGTCAGCAAAGCCCAAGCCCAGGTGCCTACCCGGTCAGTACAGCCCGAGCCAAAGCCCAGGTTAGTTTTGAGGCGCCGTTTTGTTTTGAGGCGCCTCAAAACTAGACTGCTCATCAGTCAGCAAAGCCCAAGCCCAGGTGCCTACCCGGTCAGTACAGCCAACGCCAAAGCCCAGGTTCTGCGAGGTGACTTTTGAGTCGACTCAAAAGCCCAAGCCCAGGTGCCTACCCGATCAGTACAGCCAGAGCCAAAGCCCAGGTTCTCCGTATGTCGATTGAAGTCTGCTGGTGTGAAGTCCGCCTGCACCCACCGGAGCAGGAGGCGAGGGGAAGGGGGGAGTATGGGGGCAGAACACAGGGAGAGAGGGTGCGCGGGGGGAAGGGGGAATGAAGGTTGAGGAGTGGTTACAAAGGGAACCCTGATGACATGTGTGTGGTTGTGGGAGTAGTTGCTAGGATGGATGAATGAGCTGCTGCTGCTGCTTCAGATCAGACACTTGAATCACCTTCCTTCAACCTGCTCTGCGCATGCATTGAATGGGACACATGGCAACCCACAAGCCGTTTCCAACACCCACCGGGCGGGTCGGCAAGGATCAGTAAGCGCAGCAGCGTGGTGATGTGCGGAGCGGCAGTGCTCTCACGTCCCACGCCTGAACGACCCACTTTCTCAACAAGCCGATTCCAACACCCACCGGGCGGGTCGGCCGCAGGAGCAGGAAGCACAGCAGAGTGGTAATGTGGTGAGTGGCAGTGCTCTCACGTCCCATGCCTGAACGACCCACTTTCTTAGCAAGCCGTTTCCATCACCCACAATGCGGTCGCAGGTGCAGGAAGCGCAGCAGCATGGTGATGCGGTGAGAGGCTGTGCTCTCAAGTCCCACGCCTGAACGCCCCACTTTTATAAGTCCCGTTTTCATCACCCACCGGGCGGGTCGGTCGCAGGTTCAGGAAGCGCAGCAGCATGGTGATGTGCGCGGCTGTGCTGACGTACAGCGCATCTGCCACCCGCTCCTTCACCCGGGTGAGCTTCTGAAAGCAGCACTGCTGCACGTACACCCTGCCAGGGAGCAATGCAGGAGCAGCGAGCATCAAAGAGTGAGCAGGGAGCTGTGAGAAGCAGCATGGTGATGTGGGCGGATATGCTGACTAGCAGAGCCTCTGCTGTGCGCTCTTTCAAGTGGGAGAGCTTCTGGAAGCAGCACTGCTGCACGTACACCCGGTCAAGGAGCACACAGAAAGGAGCAGTGCGTGCACGCTAAGGGCCTTCCGTTTTCTTCTTTTGCAGAATGTGGATGAAAGTGCTCTTGAAATCATCTTCCTTGTTTCGTTTGTGCATCGAGGAAAGATCTGAGCGCACCTGCTGTTGCATAATGCACCTGACGGTGAGCTCGATGCCGGAGTGAGTTAAGTCCATTTTTGAGTCGACTATCTCTCAAATAACACACACGGTGAGCTCGATGCCAGAGAACATGTCAAGGCATGGCGGGGCGGAAAAAGAGACCTTCAACGGGTGTGTTTCGAGTGAACAGACATGACTGGAGGATGAGGGCGCACCTGACGGTGAGCTCGATGCCGGAGAACATGTCCAGGCATGGCGGGGCGGAGCGCACATAGCCGCGCAGCTTCACCTTCCGCTCCGCCTCCAGTGGTATCAGCGCCGCCGCCCACTCCCGCGGGAGCGATCCCACCTGGCAGCGTGCGAAAAAAGAAGGGGATGGGGTAAGTGGGGGGAGAGGAGGGGAGGGATAGGAGGGAGGGGGGGGGAGAGGCGGTGAGATGGGGAGAGGGAGAGAGCGAGAGGCAGTGAAAGGGAGCGAGGGAGAGAGGGAGAGGCGGTGAGAGGGAGAGGGAGCGAGGGAGAGACGGAGAGGCGGTGAGAGGGAGAGAAGGAGAGGAGGAGCGAGTGAAGAAAACCGACAAAGAAGTGGAAGGGAGAGTGGCATACCTCCCCTCCTCTGGTGGTTCCAAAGCGGACAATGGAGCTCCCAGCAGAAGTCTTGCTCCATTTCCCCTTGCTTGCCCACTTGGGCGGTCTTCCCCGCCCCCTTCCGCTTTCTTTTCCGCCCTCCTTTCCGCCAACGCGTCCGCCCCCCTCGCCATTGCCCCTCGCCTCGATTTTTGGGAAGTGAAACTCCACGGGGTCGTACGGTTCCAGCTTGGCGCCACGTGTCAACGAGACGCAGGACACGTGGCGCTCTCCCAGAAGCCACCAATGTGAAGCTTCCGACTTCTCCTCTCTCCAATGCTTCATCAGCTTCGGATGCCGTAGGGGGTCAAAGGGGACTGGCTGCTGACGTGGGGCTTCAGATACGGGTGGAATTGTAGTAGCTACAGGAGCAACTGTAGATGTTGGAGGAATTGTAGATACGGGAAGAACTGTAGATATGGGAGAAACTGTAGATATGGGAGGAACTGTAGATATGGGAGGAACTGTAGATATGGGCGGGATTGTAGATATGGGCGGGATTGTAGATATGGGAGCATCCGTAGATACGGGAAGAACTGCAAAATCGGGTTGAGCCGTAGGTACAGGTGATACTGTAGATGCGGGCGGCACTGCCGACGGAGATAGCACCCCCGATACGGGCGGCACTGAATCAGGCGCATCCATCGAGTCTGGCGCGGCGGAGTCAGCTGGCGGCGGGGAAACTGCAGCGCAAGGCGAGCGCAGTGCGCATTCTCCGCTGATCTCACCGTCCCGCTCAGAGCCACGATCTGCGCCGAGACATACGGGCTCAACAATGCTGTCTGGGGAAATGATCGACGTGGGGGGAACTGCGCCATCGGTTGGCGCAATGACGGGGGAAACTGCGTCGCAAGGTGCGCCCACCGATGATGCTGCGCCTATCTCACCGTTCCCCTGAGCAAAATGGTTCTCCCCCTCGGAACGCGCGGGCTCGCGGATGCTGTCAGGGGAAAGGCTCAACGCTGCGGGCGGTGAGGCGTCAGCATTTGGTGACGACGGCGCTTCGCACGGAGAATGTGGTGCGCAGTCTCCGCCAGTGAGAGCGCCCGTCCGACGAGTCGCCTCTACCTCAAAAGGCGCGGAGTCTCCTAAGCACTCCGCAGGATCAACGGCTGTGCGCTCCGTGCCCGATTCCGGCATCGCGGCTTTCCCGATTTCCGCTCCCGCATCCTCCGGCGCATTATTCTCTCCGACCGTATTCTCTGCAACAGAAGCAGCGGCTACATAAGGGGGACGCGGGGAGGCGGGCGGAGAGGTGGCGGAAGCGGGGGGTGGATGGGGTGGCGGAAGGGCTAAAAGATCTCCGCGCGCTTTCGCCGGAGGGGAGGCGAGAGGAAGCGGATGACGCGACGAAGCCAACTGCTCGAGCGTGAACCTTTCAACATGAACTAGGTCTAAGTGGTAATTAATCGCCTTGGCGACGTCGCCTCGCGCCAGATAAAGTGCTCTGACGAGGGACGTCTCAGACGGCTCGGTGCCTAAAACCGCTCGCATGGCCTGGAAAGCCTCGGGAGTCCCGAAGCTCGCCATTGCAAGGGAATCGGGAAAAGGGTGTGTTTAATTGGTCGATAGTTGATTGCTAAACTGGAATGGCTTGCGTAAGCGGAAAAGGAGTCTCTAAATGTCGACAGCTGAATGACTAACCGAGATGGCTTGCACAAGCTGTAAAGGGACATCTATCCCTTACACGAAGAGTCAGGAGCTTCGGCACGCGAGTCTGAAGCGCGGGAGCATGCCTCTGAATTCCATGAGATGGCATGGTATTCTTTTTGCGAGTACAAAATGTAAGTTAGAAATTTCAAAAGGCTGCTTGAAACAGGTTCAGCGATCGAGGCAAGGATATGATAACGTAAGGCTCGGGTGAGGTGGTGGAGGGTGGGGTGCGGTGATACGTGGGCGGCAATTTGAGCGTCAGGGTGAAGCCTAAGTGACGTGCAGTTTGGCGGGAAAAGTCAGCCAAGCCCGCCAACAGGGATGTCGCTGTTGGGCGAAGCGTGGAGGGGAGTGGCTGCAAGCGAAAAAAACAAGCGACCAGTAACCATCATCCAACTTCGTTTGGCCTCACTCCAACTAAATTTGTGTAGCAGGCCAGGTGTGGAAGAAGCTGCTAGCTTTCAGCCATACAAAAAGTCCAGTTGTATTCAACCAGCAATGAGCAATAACCCTAGAAATAGAAACATGTTTATTCATGTAGCAATAAAAGAGTAACAGCACAAGTAGCAAAAATATCAAGAGGGTCTTAACTTTCTACAATGAAACCCAAGCGCTCAGAAAAACAGTCCTTGGGGTTTCCGGTAGCAATATTACCAGCAATATTACCAACGTGGCACATTGGTACCACAAAGAAATTAACAAAGCTGAAGCCCTGGCAAGTGTTCTGATTGGATCCCACATGCTTAGAAACCAGCAGGCCATTAGGCATCCTTCACTTGCAAGAACTTAACCCGTGTTCACAGCTTGCAATGAAAACCGCAGCATGCACTGCTTATCTTAACAGCTGGTGCAGCTCCGAAAGGCCATGCTGGGATGATCCTTCAGGAAAGGACAACCCCATCCCATGCCACCAGAAAATACCACCAGCATGGCCGCAAGTAGGATGATCCTGCCAAGATACCCGAGAGCCTAAATATAGGCATTACCCGAGGCCGAGGCTGAGCTCCAGATCATCTAAGCGCATCACGGGGGGAGGCTTCATGGGTGCCTCCACATCCCAGCTCGTCGCCATGCGCCGCACACCAGCCGCCCACTTGTTGTCCTTCCCTCCCGCGGATTTAAACTCCACCGATCGTTGAGGTCCGAGGGTTCCGCCGCGTGTTGCGCTTCCGCACTGAGGGCTGATGCTGTTGTGCGCGCCGCCGCTGAAGTTGCCACTCCGGGAAGGAGCGGGCATGGAACGGTCGGGAGGAGGAGCAGCAGCAGGAGGGAGAGAGGAAGATGCGGACGACTGGACGACGGTGGAGGCGCCTTGCAGAACACCGAGCAGCAACTGCTGCTGTTGGTGCTGCTGCTGCTGGTGCTGCTGGTGCTGCTGCTGATGTTGTTGAGAGAAAGCTAGCTGTTGCTGAAGTTGTTGCTGATGCTGATGTTGCTGCTGATATTGTGGCTGCTGCTGCTGTTGCTGCAGCGGATGCAGCGGAACCACGGGATTGGCTGCCTGGGCAGGAGCCATCGGTCTTGGGATTGCCGAGGACGGAGCGGCAGTGCTACGAGACGACTGCAGCAGAGAGTAGATATCCGACGGCACGGCGGAAGATGCGGGAGCAGCCGGTCGATTACCAGGCAGCGATTGATCCCCGTTATTAGCACCTCCTTTAGTGAGCAGCATCAGCACCTGCTGGACGTCCGATGACGCGGCGAATGACGGAGGCAGGCCGAGCGACGACGCAACGGCCGCGAGCGACGCGGCGGAGGAGTTTAGCGCTGCGCCCAGCTGCGCCGCCGCCGCGGGGAAAGCAGCGAGCGCGGACATGAGCTTCAGCAGCTCCGCTGCCGGCGGCGCGGCCGCCCCGCCAGCAGCTCTGCCAGCAACTCCGACAGTCTGGGTAGTTCCGCAACCACCCGCGCTTCCTCCTACGGGCGCAGGTCTACCTTCCACCATCGGCGCAGCGGCGCTCAGAGGAGCGGCGCCAACGGCGGCGAGTCCGGCATCCCGCCCGTGCATCGTGACGCCAACGCCGTTGACGGGGCCGCGGCCATGGTCGGTGCCTCCCGAAAGAGACGCTGGATGATCGTAGTCCGTATTATCGAGGGCGTTGACATTGGACGACGCGTAGGGTTGCGCGCCGCTGTCCGCGGGGTATGCGGAGTCAATTCCTGCTGACGGCTCGGGCTGCTGGGGTCGAGGCTGACCCTGAAACACGAAGACGAACGCATACAAGAAAAAAAAAACGATATATAAGATACGTCGGCAAAGAAAAAAGGTGGAACGACGCACGAAACATATGAATAATATGCAAACCGGCACGCGAAATAGAGACAGAAGGAAAACGATGTGTGAGACAGCGCGGCGCGGCGCGGATGAGGGTGTACCTTTCGGTAAGTCGTGCCGTCCTCCTCGACAATCCAGCCGGCCTCTTTGCACACTGCCTTGAGCACCTCGTTGTTGTCGCAATGTTTCGGCAGATCGTAGTTTCCGTAGGTGCGCAGGCCGGAGAAGATCTTGGCTGCTATGGCGCGTCGTCTCCTCTCCCTCCGTTTGTTATTCTCCCGCTCCTTCCAAGTCGGCAAGCGTTGAGCCGCTGTGCCGCGATTCGACGAAATAAGCCGGTTGTTGTCCCTCTGAAACTGCTTTGAATCCTCCTCCAGGTCGTCCGCATAACTCGTAGCCAGATCCATCGGTCGAAACCCTGTAGAAGCTACAAAACAACTCGAAACCTACTCGAAAGAGAAATGCTCGATAAGAATGTGAAAGCTGAGGTAAAAGAAGGCCAGGAACAACCAGCAACAGGATACACAGCACACCACAAGGAAATGAATGGCGGATGAGAACGAATCAGGAAATCAGTGGAAAGTGGGTGTTGCCCTTTTTGGGGTTTGGTGCATTTGGTTGGGGGGTGGAATGGATGAGTTGGGTGGAAGGGAGGTGATGTTGACAGGGCAGCGGAAGGGGGCACCCTGATGGTGGTGGTGGTGTAGATGCATGTGCATTCACCGGTGTGGTACGTACGTGTGGCATCTGAAACAGAGGGTTGCGTTGGCGTTGGGTTGGGGCAGAGATAATCCTGCGCGGAAAGCCAAGGGGAGATCCAATCCTTATCCGCCAGGTTGCTGTTCATTCGCATCCTGTCACCCATCCGTGACACCCTCGGGAAGGTCGGGGCTGTGCGCAGATTGGGTTGCCCGCGCATCCGAACTCCCCTCTGATTTAGAAGGTGGATACAGACTTGTCGCATGGAGGCTCCGCCCTAGCGCAAAGGACAATGGCGACATGCGCAACTTGGTGGAAGTCGAACCAAGCGCATGCAAATTTGATCGCAGGCGCTCGTGCAGGTGGAGGTGGATGTGGCGAGAAGGCGATGCCTGACGACGAGGTTTGGAAGTGGGCACTCTGTACGTGGTGTATAACCGTGTGGTCCGGCCCAGTCTGGTTTTTTCTGCGCGGACCACCGCAGCGCAGCGCGGGGAGGGTACAAGGGATTGGGGAGGGGTGAGGGTGAGGAGGACCAGGTGCAATGCAAAGTGGGGTGGGGGGGAGGGAAAGAGGCGGTGGGTGCACCACAGCACATCACTGTAAAATGCGCGGAGTGTGCGCGCAGTACGCTTTGCAGGGAAGCAAGCTGCCAAACCAATGGGGAGCTGCACGCATGGTGGAACTGGCAATCGCCTGCACGGACCCTTCCCTTTGAAGTCACGACACGACGACACAGCAGGGTGCAGCTCGTGCGAAGGCTCACACACACGGCTCACGAATGGTGAGAGAGCCACACGTGCCACGCATGCATGGCGTACAACTGGATCCTGCTGCCAATTATACATGGACAATACTGTGGCTGGTCCACAAGGGCAGCACTTCAACACCAGCGAAACCATTTTCTTCAAAATAAAATGTTGTAACGAAGGACATATCGCTGGTTCTAATTATACATTTATACCCATTGTTTCATTAGAAAAAGGCGTTCCAAATTCGAAAGACTGATCGGAACTGTAGGCCCAGACTCGATCCAACGGAACGTTGAAAATGGAAAGAAGAAACCTGGAAATTGCGGAAAATGCGAGTGACGTCACCTCTCTGTGGGCATTCACCTCCCACGGCCCACTGGGCAGTGGGCACTGGGCACATGGCTAATAATGGTGGCTTGGCTTGGAGGAGGCAGCCACTCAGGCGTGTACAGTAAACCTGCACGACTAAACCTTCGTAAGGACTTGAGAATACAGTGTCCATCGGTGTAAAAAATGCGCTAAAACTCTGCGCACCTTATCATGAGTATCTGAACACGACATGGCAAAGCACACCTTACGCGAAAAAAAACAATCTGGGCAGTCTGGACCACCGAAGCCGCTTCACGTGTGCCTGACACCACCTCGCCTTTTCATCAGACACACTGTATGGTCCCTCCTCCAACACCCTTTCCTTGCGCCACAAACACACGTAAAGACAGAGCGGGCCACCCAAATGGCCCAGGCTCGATCCAGAAGGTCCTATTTTCCTTGCGGTACAAGTGATGCCCACCCCATGCACGCGAATTTGCTCTGTTCCGGATGGAAACGCTGCACCTGAGGTTTTTTCCCCAGCTTGTTGCACCCAAGTTACAAACGCGTCGCGTGGTTATGAACCAATAGCAACGAATAGACCGAAGTCAAACTGAAGAGACTGAAGTCAAAATGTCAACGGATAAGGTTACAGATTCTTTATATAAGCACCTGCGAATCCTTTTTAGCCAGCTGCGAATTGACGAAACTTTTGCGAAATGCACGATACAGCTTATAAGCCCCCTTCACAAGGCAACCGGGAGTGGCTCAAACAGGCATCATGTGTACTTACAGGGGGGACGTAAGAGCAACCACCCTGAAAACAAAGTGCGCTTGCAAATAAGGCATCAAGTGGAATGTAACTGTCCGGCCGGCACAGCTGCCACTCAACTGTCAACTCACCATCACCACCATTACAACGTGTTGCGGCCCAAAAGAGTTCGGGTCGACCTCCCCCGATCCCTCATTTCTAGGATGGCTGTTTTGTCAACGGCTCCGCGTGCCAGATTGCATCGATTTGATACGGAGGTCAGGTTTATGGAGCAACAATAGAAAAAGGGAAATTATGCCCCTCGTAATCACCAAGGGTCTCGATAATATGTTTGGTATTAAAAAAAACGGGTTCGATCACTGCAAAGGATGTTTTCACGTGTTTGATAAAACGTTTCACGAAATCAGTCACAATCAACTGGGAAAAAATACGCGAATGTTCACAGATGAAACTACCGCCCAAAAAATATAATACCCAAAACGAACCTGGATGCGTTTTAGTATGAATCAACCCTAATCACAACTCGCCAGGTGTTTAGGGTTGATCCGTTCCCAAACTGCATCCGATTCCGATTGGGCTTTAGTATTTTGAGAAATGAGCTGATTGGTTGGGCGCGAGCGGGAATTTTGTAGAGTTTCAAGAAATTTTGGCGGGAGTTACATGGGTGACCATTCGCGTGATTTTTCACCTGTTGTTAGTGACTGAATCGGTGACCCCACTTACCAAACGCGTCAGCAAACCCTATACAGTGACCGTACGTGTAACTTTTTTTTACCATTCACGTTATCGAGTCCCATGTTGGTTACTTGTGACATATTTTCCCATAGAAAAAGGCCAAACGACTGCGAAGTGAACCAGAGGGTACACTTCATACCTTTTTTGTGCTTTTTTTTCTTTGATCAAAGGTCTCTTCTTTGCTTTCTTAATTTTGACGTACACTTCATACCAGGACAAGTAACGCTGCACCAGTTGTTTCGAGTAAACGTAAATTGTTTTAGCCTTTCTTTCAAGCACGGTAACACTGCACCAGTTGTTACCTGTACCCCTCCTTGTCACAAGAAAAGGGCACAAATCTTACAATTAGGACTGCATAACGAACTTCCTTTTACATGAACAATGCAGCGTGTTTCCATCAGTGTACCACTTGCTTTGGCCGCCTTTTGCTGCTCTTCCTACGCCTACCCCTGACAGCACGCAGCAAAGCCTTGACCATGTAAGGCCCCTCGAGTTCATATCCGAGCTTCCTGTAGTAGTGGCGGGTTCCTATGCCCGATATCACTGCCAGCTTGCTCGATCCATGCTCCCACCGCGCAATGCGCTCCGCCTCCTCCATCAGCAGCGTGCCATACCCCTGAAACCACAAAGCACCGCATTGCACCGCGCCGCACCCAACCCATCCAATCCAAACCAAAGATTTGAGCACAGGGAGAATCCACCTGCCATCTGTGTTGATAACCACAACCATCAACCACTGTACCGCACTGTACCTGATCCTACCCACCCACCTGGTGCTGTCAGCATCTGATCCTACCCACCTACCTGGTGCCCTCATCACCAAATCCTACCCACTCGCCTGGTGTTGCAGTTTGTCGGTGTCGCGTGTGTGCACGGGCATAGCAATTTCATACACATGCAGCTCTCACCACACATGCCACTGCAACACATGCCCTGCATTAATGAATCATCTCCTAGTCACCACCATACCTCATCCTACCCACTCGCCTGGTGCTGCAGCTTGTCAGTGTCGTGTGTGTGCACGGGTACAGCAGTGCCATACACATGCAGCTCACGCCACGCATATGTCACTGCTACACATGTCACACATTGCCCACTATTAAAACATGTGCTAGTCCCCACCACACCTCATCCTACCCACTCGCCTGATGTTGAAGCTTGTCGGTGTCGCGTGTGTGAACGGGCACAGCAGTGCCATACACATGCAGCTCCCGCACTATGGAGCACCGCCCTCTCAGCTCCGGACACGTCACGTGCGCCCCACACCTCCTCAGCCGCAGCAGCCCCACCAGAATATCCTGCCGGGACGGAGAACATAGGGTCACAACAAGGGGAGTTTCAGTTCTGAGGCGCCTCAAAAGTTGCACTAGGAAACACCACCTCCCTAGGCTGCGCACACGTCACGTGCGCCCCACAGCGCCTCAGCTGCAGCAGCCCCACCAAATGCCCTGCCCATGGCAACATCATCACCTCTCTCTCTCTCACCCTCTGCCTGCGTACATTTTTTAGTCGACTCTTGAGTCGTGTTTGAGTCGACCCAAAACACGATATTTGAGTCGACCCAAAACACGACATTTGAGTCGACTCAAAACCCTGCCCCGGAGCAACATAGGCCACCACCTCTCTCTCACCCGCGTACAACATGAAACCACCTCAGAAAAAAAGCTCTCTCACCTGGGTAACATCTTCATACGAGAGAAACGTCTCCCACCCATCGTTGGCAGCGTAATCCCGCCGCACCAGCTGCACGTCATGCGGCCTGACAGCGTGGTGAATGTCCTGAATGCCCGCCTCCCGCGTGCGCACATCCCGGCACCGCAGCCCCAGCTCTGCCATGCGCGCCAGCGCCAGCTCACGCAGGTTACCCTTATCGATTCCCGACGTGACCAGTGGCAGCGGGATGTCGCGCATGATGCGGTACACACGCGTCCAGGGGGGGACGAGGGCGAGAATGCGCGCTACTAAATCGATGAGCTTCTCTGGTGGGTAGTTGCGGTACCTGGGGGGGGAGAAGAAGGGTGCAGGAGGGAGAGGAGGCAGTGGGATGTCTCACATGATGCGGTAGACACGCGTCCAAGGGGGGACGAGGGCGAGAATGCGCGCTACTAGATCAATGAGCTTCTCTGGTGGGTAGTTGCGGTAGCTGGGGAGCGGGGAGGGTGGATAGGAAGGAGGGCAGGGGGATGAGGGGGAGAGGAGGCAGCAGAGGAAGCGCATGATGTGTCAGACACGTGTCCAAGGGGACACGAGGGCCACGAGGGGGTAGAGCTTGAGCCCGTCAGTGCAAAGGCCAGAGTTGATATGGCAACCCCCGCCTCCCTCCTCCCCTTACCTGCCTGCCGGTCTTCCAGAGCTCGTAGGGCCCCGTGTTACAGATGACGAGCGTGGGATAGAGCTTGAGCCTGTCAGTGCGAAAGGCAGGGCTGATGTGGTGACCCCCAAACGCCCCTCCCCCACCTCCCTCTCCCCTCACCTGCCAGTCTTCCATAGCTCGTAGAGGCCTGTGCCACGTATGACGAGCGTGGGGTAGAGCTTGAGCCCGTCGGTGCGGAAGGCAGGGTTGTGCATGAACTCTCTGAATGACTCCATGTCCCTCTCCATGCCCACGTTGGGTAGATCCGGCATCATGTGCGCCACCACCTGAAACGTGGGGGAGTGTCATGTCAGGTAGGGGATGGTGAATGGAGGGAGAGTTTGGTATAAAGAGGTACGACGCATGAACTCCCTGAGCGACTCCATGTCCCTCTCCATGCCCACGCTGGGTAGATCCAGCATCATGTGTGCCACCACCTGAGGGTGGGGAATGGGAAAGTGTGAGGCGAGAGTGAGGTTTGGAAGATCCTGGGGAGGGCGATCCCACGTCTCTCTCCATGCCCACGCTGGGTAGATCCAGCATCATGTGCGCCACCACCTGGTGGGGTAGGCAGGGGGGAGGGGAGTGGGAGAAAAGGGCGCATGAAAATGGGAGGACACAGCAAATGAGAGGGCAAAGGTGCAGCCCCCGGCATGACGCAGCCACCGCCATCACCAGCTCACATAACACACCTTAAAGCCCGCGTCATCGGCGAGACAGAAGCAGTCAGCCACAGCAGCAACAGTGCGGTCACAATTGGTGTCCCTCGACTTAAAGCCCGCACACTGCAGGCAGCGCACCCTAAAGCCTGCACAGCGCGCACTTTAAAGCCCGCACACCACTCAACTTAAAGCCTGCATCCTTGGCGAGGCAGAAGCAGTGAGCCACCGCAGCAACAGTGTGGCTGCGGTTGGTATTCCCTAGCCTTGACTTGAAGCCAGCACACAGCAGGAAACGCAACCTAAATCCTGCTGCCCACACACACATCACACACCTTAAAGCCTGCGTCCTTGGCGAGGCAGAAGCAGTCAGCGACGGCAGCAACGGTGTGGCCGCGGTTGGTGTCCCTGGCCACGTCCTCATATGTGCTCTGCACTCCGATCTCCAGCCGCGTGCACCCGTACGCTAGCATCTGCCTCAGGTGCGGGCCCAGGCAGTAGTCTGGACGGCTGGTGGGTTGATGGGTGGAAGGCAGGCAGGGACGGGAGGAGAGGAGGCGAGGTGGGTTGGCAGGGTTGGGGATGAGGGGTCGATTGCACGCTGCATGCACCTGTACGCTAGAATCTGCCTCGGGTGAGGTCCCAGCCAGTATGGGGAGAGTGAGGCGACGAGGGGAAGGGCGCTGAGAGTTGAAACTTGGAAACCAGGAGAGTGAACATTCGTTCCTGAAGCAATTATGTGCTCACGTTTCGATGGTGAGGCCGATGCAGCGTGTGGCGGCATGCTCGGCGTATTGCACTGCCTCTGCTACACACGCGGAGGAGCGCCCTGAGAGGGCGTCGTGCAGATTGCGCACGAAGAAGTCGCGATAGTCCGCTGGGAGCGACATGAACGTGCCGCCCATTAGGATGTACTCCACCTGGAGGGGGGGGTGGTGGTAAGTGATGGAGGAGAGTGGATTATTGCATGGAGAATTTTGGACTTTGCAATTGTAGTCCGCTGGCAGCGACATGAATGTGCCGCCCGTCAGGATGTTCTCCGCAAGATGGCTGAAATGTGATGGTGTGATTCTGGAGTGATTGTGAGGTGATTGTGTGGAAAGGAATGGACTGCCAACACTGGACTGCTGCGTGATGGTACTTAGCTAAACATCCGTGGCAAAGAGCTGGTCGTACCTTATCCACACTGTGACCGAGTCGCCTCAGCTGGTCGACCCGGCCGCGCGCCTGAACGTACGGATGGTACCTCGCCCGAATCGCGCGCATACTAGTCGGCTCATACCCGGTATAAGACTGCGTCGAATACTCGAAATCGGAATCGGGCCCGCCAGGGCAGTACACGCAGATATTCCCTGTCGTCGCTATGTGCGGGCATCTATGCGGCTTCGACATCACAGCCACGACAGCGATTCCCGACGCTGTGCGAACGGGCTTCGCGCGGAGCCTTGGGATCAGCGCGTCGCGATGCTCCTCGGGAACCGCGGCGATAATCTCGACGAGCTTCGGCGCGCGCGACAGCCCGTGCTTTCGCGACGCGTCGGATTTGATCGCGTTCAGATTGACGTCGCGACCCGCGCGCACGCCGTCGATCATCGCTCGAACAATTTCGGAGATCGCGCGCACGCGAGATTCTTCTGGGGACGCGGAAAGAACGACTCCGCCGCGCCCCGGCGTGGGTTTCTTTCCGCCGATGGCGGAAGAGCCCGTGGAAGCGGCTCCGCCACCCCCCCCGAACTCGGATAACGCACCCATGGAGACGAATTAGTTATCGAACGAACGTTTCAGTCGAATCGGCTTAGAAGTTAATTCGAGACATTACGTTCAGTAATGGTCGGACAAACTCCCATACACAGGAAAACTAGCGCAGCCGGGGATATGAGGCGAAATATCCCTTTGAGGTGGTTCTTAGAACCTGAGGTCGTCAGGGCACCACTCATCTACGAAGTCGCAGTACGCACTTATTCCCAGGAAAAAGTATGACAAAGAACACGGCGCGAGACGCCAGACCAGAACTCCTAGGCTGGACTTAGCTGCTGGGGCGATCTTCGAGAGTGGGAAACCCGCTAAGAAATAAAGTTCATCAACTATTTACAGAAGTATACAGAGAGTTTTTAACACAATACCGTAAAGAATAATAAGTGCATCGCTCTCCCTGCAAAGACACCGTCAGTTTGCACGAGTCTAATTGGAAGTAATGTGATGATGCCAGTAACGCGGTAACGCTTTCTGGTGTGAAGCTCTTTTGCTCCCTCCCTGTAAACCCAATGAGCAGTTGACACGTCTTGATACTGCCGAGGATGCTCAACCATTTTTTAGAAGAATATTCTTTCATAACTATCATCTCAACCTGCAACAAAGGGGCACACACAAACACATGTTATCAAGGGAAAGAGCAGGAAGTTGAGCACTTGCGTACAATAAAAACAATAAACTTGGGAAACCAAGCTACACTCACCCTGACGGCACTGAAAGGCCGGGTAGTTGTCGCGCTCGCATTGGCGGATTGAGGGGACGCCAGCCACTCGGCATTCCTGAATCCCACGCGCACCTTGCCAAAGCGCCTGAAGAGATGCCGCTCCCAGCTCTGGCTGGCCTTGCTGTTCGTCACCGATATGAATGTGCTGCTTTGGTCCCACCACACACACCACAAACCACACACACCACACATAGATGCGTGGTTTTGAAAATTGCCTGAAAATTCAAAGGTGGGATAATCGGAGCAGAATGGCGGGAGTAGTGAATGGTGTTTTTTCCCCAACCCATGCTCCAGTGCAGAGGAGGGCGGTGAAGGTGCTTGAAAGGGTTCTCACCTCCCCAAGTTGACCCCTCACCTCCCCGAGTTGACCCCTCACCTCCCCGAGTTGACCCCTCACCTCCCCGAGTTGACCCCTCACCTCCCCGAGTTGGCCTCTCAACTCCCCCAATTAACTCCCCCAGTTGACCCCACACCTTTTGCTAGTGAGCAGCGAAGTGAAGGTGTTGAACTCGCCGGTCTTGCTGCCCATCAGCTCTGCCTCCCCCAGTTGAGCCCGGATGCACACAGCCACTGGGGGAGGCGAGTCCCACGTCACACTCATGGCCTTGAGCTGGTGTTTGGATGGCATGGGTCATGGTGCATGGGGTCATGGTGCATGGGGTCATGGTGCATGGGGTCATGGTGCATGGGGTCATGGCACATGGGATGATGGTGCATGGCATTTAATCAGATGGCATGGAGTCAACTGCGCTGCCGCTCCACATCGCGGTCAAACTGCACATTGAGAATGTACAGAACCAACTCAAACACACCACACCTTTGCTAAAAGCGTTTCACTAACACTGCTGCCCTTCCACCATGAGTGACAACAGCTCAACCACGCACCACACCTTGTCAACCACGCACCACACCTTGTCAACCACGCACCACACCTTGTCAACCACGCACCACACCTTGTCAAACACGCACCACACCTTGTCAACCACGCACCACACCCTGTCAACCACGCACCACACCTTGTCAACCACGCACCACACCTTGTCAAACTGTTCCGTGCAGTGCGCAAGGCTGGCAGCAACGCGGGCGATGTTGCGGCGCTGCCAGCTGAGCGTCTCCCCCCCTCGCTGCCGCTCCACGTCCCGGTCGAACTGCCGCTCCCACCCGCCCTCCCACGCCTGCTTCGCGTCGCACAGCTGCAGCCCGGGCGGCAACGGGTGGCGGTTGATGCCGCCCACTGCGCGCACTGTGTTGATGATAGCCGCCGCCTGATGGGGAGGGGTTGGGGCTGGGGTTGGGGTGGGTGAATCTCGACTGGACTGTAAAGTGACGGTCCCAGCCCATGTCCCTACTGTCCCGTGCCTTCACTGCTTCACTGCACCACCACCCCCTTCCCCTTCCTTCGCATGGCACCGATGCTCCTCCCCACTCACCTTCTCATCCACAGCACAGGGAGAGGAGCAGGGCCGGCACTTGGCGCCATTCAGCGGTCCATAGGTCGCCGTCGAGAACATCATGGCGGCACACCCATCGCCCCCTCAGGACCTCCTCCGCGTCACCACACAGAAGTGAAAATGCTTCCGTGCCACCGCCACCCACACAGCCTCCCAACCCCAACCTCCCAACCCCCCAACCTCCCCACTCACCTGATCATCAGAAGCACACGGCGACGAGCAGGGCCAGCACTTGGCACCGTTTAGCGGCCCATAGGTCGCTGTTGAAAACATCATGGCAGCACACCCATCGCCTCCTCTCGACCGCCTCCGCGTGACCACACAGAAGTGAAAATGCTTCCGAGCCACCGCCACCCCCCCAGCCTCCATCTGTGCCCGAAACGCCTTCTCGGACGTCAGCGCCCTATACCCCGCACTGAACAGGTCTTGTAACGCGGATAAACGCCTGAGAGCCACTTGAGAGGCCGCCCAGGAGCCAATCCTGAGGCGATCGTTGAGGCCCCCCCAGTCGAATCCGAAGGGGATGGTGTAGGCGGAGGGGTGGAGGGCGGGGGAAAGGGGAGGGGGGGCGGTCCAGTAGCCGTCGACTCGCGTGCGGATGACCCAGCGGTAGGAGATGTTGTGTTGCTGTTGGTGGGTGGCGATGAGATCGACACAGCCCTCCACCAGCCGGAAATACTGCAGCAGACCCTGCGAGAGGGGGGAGGGGGGTGTGTGGCGCGAGGGGGGAGAGGGAAGGGAGGTGGAGAGTGGTGTAGGGGGGGAGAGACACTGACTCGGCACGCCACTAACCATCCGCCAAGGAGGGAGGGGGTGCGGTCCAGTAGCCGTCGACTTGTGTGCGGATGACCCAGCGGTAGGAGATGTTGTGTTGCTGTGGGTGGGTGGATATGAGATCGATACAGCCCTCCACGGGACGGAAATACTGCAGCAGACCCTGGTGGGTTGGATGAAGGCGGAAGATGGGGGGAAAGGGACTTCGGAGAGAGAGAGAGAGAGAAGGAAATGAAGAGTAGATGTGGGAGGGGAGAGAAGCTGTTGAATTGGCCAGACAAGCCCTTACTCTCAATAGTATTCAAGCCCTTGGACAGGCCCTGGTGGGGTACGCAGTATGGCGGTGTTAGTCCGTTCCTCTGCAGGCCCTGGTGCCCATACTGCGTACCACCCCACCACCAGCAACACCGCGTATCCAACACAGCACTGCCTACTCCATCCATGCACATGCCATGCTGCCCCCACACCACGTGCCCCATCTGGATGCCGTGTGGCGAGCCGCTACCGGTGAGCACCGTGCGGTGCTCGTCCGTCTCTGGGATGTCCGCACTGGGGAAGATGCGCACCGCTGCAATACTAACTGCCGTGCTCACTGCACTCTGTGTGCTGTTGGTAGCAGCAGCAGCAGCAGCAGCAGCCGCAGCAGCAGAGGAGGCGGTGGTGGCATTGGCAGGGGAGGCGAGCAGCAGCGCCCACAGCTTGCTGGCACGCTCGTCCAGCGGCGAGTGCAGGAAGAGGTGAGCTGGCGGGTAGCGGCTGATGACGTGGCGCAGGATGGAAGGCCACGTGGCCTCGAAGTCCCGAGCGCCGCCCACGAGGCAGATGGCAACCGGGCCGTCATTGGCAGCAGTATCAACACTCGCAGTGTCAACCTGTTTCCCCACGTGCTGCTGCGACTGCTGCTCCTGCGTTAAAAGTTCGTTCGCAGAAGCGTGCGACGCCGAGTCGTTCTGCTTCGCAGGTTTCTGTTCCCGCTTGTCCCGCACGTCCCGCTCGTCGCCGCTCTGCTGGCTGGCGCTCTGCTCCTTTTGCTGGCCCTGCTGCCCCTGCTCCTGCTGTTCACTCTGTTGCCCATTCTCCTGTTGCTCCTTCCGTTGCTGTGGCGGTTGTCCCTGCTGCGGCAGCACGGAGAGGCTACTTTGCAGCCGTTGAAGCCATGCACGGGAGGTGGCATTGCCGGCTGGGAGAAGAGCGAAGGCGGACGGCGAAGTGAGCAGCGTGAAGTGCGCCGTGGCGAAGTATGCGACGGTCCATGCGACGACGAGTGCGACGAACAGCAGCGCCACGCCCACGCGCGAACCGCCCTCCGACGACCCCAGTAGCCGCCTCATTCTGGCAGCTCGCCAAATAACTCAATGTGCAGCCTAAAAGCTTCAAAATAAACCCGAAGCCAATGTTTTCAACACAGATCCGGGATCTATCAAAACGCTATGAAGGAATTAAAAATGGATAATAATTACTTTACTCTAGATTAGCATATCAGAGTGGCGCAGCGGAAGCGTGGTGGGCCCATAACCCACAGGTCCCAGGATCGAAACCTGGCTCTGATATCTTCATTCTCCAACCTGCTACTTTTTCTCTCCCTGTGCCATTTTTATCTCACCACAATTTCGTTACTCGCCCTCTCAGGTCGTTACATCGAACCCAGTCAGCAACCTGGTGCTTGGGCTTACCTTGGAGTGCGCGCCGTTTAAAACGTTAAATCCGGCGTACCGCGTTTCACACTCACTTGACTTCTGGTTTACGTTTAGGACTCACCGCGGTCATTACCTTTTCATCCAGCCGGCTCCACCGGTGCGGCGCCATGTCGACAATGGACGCTCAGGATGAGCTGGAGGAGGCGGTGAGCCGAATCTACGGCGAGTGGCTTGCGCGAGGCGGCGGCCGCTCCGGCTCTCGGACTCGGTACGCACTGCGCGCCGAGTTTTGGCGCGCACGAATCGCTATGCGCGTCTTACTGCCTTCCGGACCTGGGATGCCCCAATCGTAGCGGCTGAACCTCCTCCGGGAATCTTCTATCTACACTTTCTTTGCTTCAATAGTTAGTTCTTCCTCCGTTTCACGCTGCTCCCGTCACGCGCTTCTCTCCGCGATTCCCTTGTTTGCTTCTCCCGCAGGGGCGCGGAGGGGGAACAGGCGGCGGGCGGAAGGCGGAAGGAGCGGGGCGGGAGCGGGGGAGAGGGGCTGCGACTGCTACGGGAACGCCACGTGCGATTCCTGTTGAAAGGATTGGACCACCTCTCGAGCAGCTATGCCAGCCTGGATGCCAGGTCAGCATATCACCTTCTGTAGTCTCGAGCAGCTATGCCAGCCTGGATGCCAGGTCAGCATATCAAATTCCGTTTGTCCATTCATACTCCACAGCACGCATGTCCAGCAAGTATCGCTTTCCATGCGCACCCCTCTCCACCGATTTATCTACCTCTTATCCCCATCGCCTCCTTCACCTCTGATTGTGTGGTTACCAGTCGGATGTGGCTGGTGTTTTGGAATGTGCACTCCCTCGCCCTCCTCCAATACCCTTTCAACCCCTCGCCCTTTCCAATCCCTGCTCACCCCTCTCCACCATTCCATCTCCCTTCCTCCTTCCCGCCCCACACCTTCCTCTCCGTGGAGTGTGGTTACCAGTCGGCCATGGCTGGTGTTTTGGATCGTGCACTCCCTCGCCCTCCTCGAGCATCCTCTTGACGCCTCTCTTGCTGCTCGGTGCGCCGACACGCTGCGTCGCTGCCAGGTGAGCTTCAGGTGCCGCCAGGTGAGCGTCAGGTGCCGCCAGGTGAACTTCAGGTGCTGCCAGGTGAGCTTCAGGTGCCTCCAGGTGTGCTTCAGGTGCCGCCAGGTGAGCTTCAGGTGCGCCCAGGTGTGCTTCAGGTGCCGCCAGGTGTGCTTCAGGTGCCGCCGCCAGGTGAGCTTCAGGTGCCGTCAGGTGAGCTTCAGGTGCCGCCAGGTGTGCTTCAGGTGAACTCGGATGGGCTCAGCTCAGGCTGGGAGTTGAGGCGGCATTACAATGGTGAACGGCCCGAGTGCCGTGATCCGGTCAGCCTCACCGATCCACATCTTGTCTATGACTTCACTCATTCGCTCATCTATGGTCAAATCGTCATTTCAACTCCTTTCTCTCAATTCTTCTCTCGCAATCTCCTCCCCTCCATTCCTTGCCTTCTCGTTCTTCCCTCATTTGGCCCATCCTTCTCTCCTCCCCTCCCCCACAGCATCCAGAGGGCGGCTTTGGAGGCGGGCCTGGGCAGGTGAGAGCAGACACATGCACTCACATCCACCCCGTCACATCCACCCCGTCACATCCACCCCGTCACTTGCACTATCAACAGTCTCGATCAGAGTCTCCCCGCCCCGTTCTCTTCCTTGCGTTCTTCACCCTGCTTGCTCCATCCCTTTGTCCTCCTCCTCCTCCTCCTCCTCCTCCTCCTCCTCCTCCTCCTCCTCCTCCTCCTCCTCCTCCTCCTCCTCCTCCTCCTCCTCCTCCTCCTCCTTCAAACAACCACACCACACCCTACTGTCTACTCCCCAGCCTCGCCCCCCTCATCTTCCCTCTCTCCCCCCCCCCCCTGCTCCTCTCCCCTTCAACCCTACTCCCAACCCACCAGTGTGTGTCTGTAATTCTCCCCCCATCACACCATGCAGCTGGCGCATCTGGCCACCACGTATGCAGCTGTGGCAGCGCTGGTAACGGTGGGAGGGGAGGAGGCTCTCTCAGTGGTCAACAGGTAGCCGTGCTTCCATGCCCCTCATAGAATGCTTCCATAGCCCTCCTCTTTCGCCTCTGCTCATTTCGTTCGTCCACCCTTCTCTCGCTCCCTCCTCTTCCTCTTCCCCCTGCCTCCTTCCCCCCTTCTCCTATCTCCCTCTCCCTAATGCCCTTTTTCTTCCCGTATGTCCATTCCCTTCCCTCATCTGCCTCCCCTTCCCGCATATCCCTCCCTCACACGTCCTTCCGTCTGTCCGTGGACCAGGAAAACGATGCTTGCCTTTCTGCGTCGCATGAAGTGCCAGTCAGGAGGTTTCAGGTCAGTTGGCTCTTTTTGGAACTATGTCAGAAGGGCTGCCATGCCATGCCGTGCCATTCCATGCCATGCCATGGGATGGACGTGTCTATCTTGAGATGCCATGACTAGAACATCGAGATCATGTGCCCACTGCAAGCGACAAACTTGGGCGGCTCTTGTCTTGACCATTGCGCCTCTTCCCTCGCCCTCCCAGGTGGCAGGCAGGCCGGCCCTGCTTTAAGCCCTCTTGCTGATTCCATCTCTCCCGCCCCTTCGGTTGTGCAGGCTGCACCAAGGGGGGGAAACGGACGTGAGGGGGTGTTATACTGCAATGGCGGTGAGTCACATGCTGCTGCGCTGTGTTTAGCGGCGCCTCAGTAGTTATGAGGCGAGTTTCGAGGCGCCTCAAATGAGATGAGTCGCCTCAAACGATGGACGTGAGGGGGTGCTTTAGTGCTATGGCGGTGAGTCATATGCTGCTGTGCTGTGATTAGAGGTGCCTCAAAAGCTTTGAGGCAGGCTACTTGAGTGCCTCGCCTGCTAGTTATTTGTCCGTTGTTTGCGCTCTCCCTATTGAGACGTCTCAACACTTCCCCCCCCCCCCCAGGTGGCTCATCTGCTCTGCATCCGCACGCCTGACCTCACAGAGAACGTGGCAGCATACGTGCACAGGTGGGCGGTTGAGAGGGGGTGATGAGAGGTGATGAGAGGTGATGAGAGATGATGATTGACTATGCCTGCACAGGTCTGGTTTCGGTGCCTGACAATTGTGTCATGCTGCAATCTGTGTAGTCTTTCGGTTGTGAAATGCAATGTGCAGCTCGCGTGTGAAATGCAATGTGACGACTTTTGAGGCGCCTCAAAAGCTCACGTGTGAAATGCAATGTGCAGCTCACGTGTGAAATGCGCGTTGCCTTCCCATGTCATCTGCTGCCCCGCCCCCCACCACAGCTGCCAGACCTACGAAGGGGGCATTTGGGGAGAGCCTGGCGCAGACGCGCATGTATTTGTGCGACCGTCTTAGTAAAGAATGAAACTCACCTGTGACATGCGCATTACCTTCCCATGCTCTCTCCTGTCCGCCACCACAGGTGTCAGACTTATGAAGGGGGCATTGGGGGAGAGCCCGGCGCAGAGGCACATGGGGGGTGAGTGGGCGGAGTTGGAATGGGCTTCCAGTGGGGGAAATGGAATGTGAGGGGGGGAGGGGAGGGTGTGAGTTGAAGAGTGGGTTGGGATGAAAGTGCATAGGAGACAGACAGCATGGGGTGTGAGGCGAGGAACATGAAGGGAAGGAAGGGGATTGGCTTCATGGCATCACATCATCATGCTCTTGGGAGCCCTGGCCTTTTGAGATTATACCAGGCATTCCACCCGCGCAAGCCCCATCCCCTTCTATGCGATCATCATGTTCCTTCTCCGTTTCCTCGTCTGTTAGAATTGTATGTTCTAGCATGCCAACACTTGTGACTGTACACCAATTGTGGTGTACAGTGAGTTGGGACTACACCCAACTTTGGGTGTAGTCTTGCATTGTGGGGTGCCAATCCAACCCAATTGTGGTGGAGCCCCCAAATGCAACCCACTTGACCTCAGGTTGCCTCACTTCCCAAAAGTGAGGCCAACCCAACCCAAGTGAGCCTGAGGTTGCCTCACTTCCCACAAAGTGTGGTCAACCCAACCCACTTGACCTTAGGTTGCCTCACTTCCCACAAAGTGTGGTCAACCCAACCCACTTGACCTTAGGTTGCCTCACTTCCCACAAAGTGTGGTCAACCCAACCCACTTGACCTTAGGTTGCCTCACTTCCCACAAAGTGTGGTCAACCCAACCCACTTGACCTTAGGTTGCCTCACTTCCCAAAGTGAGGCCAACCCAACCTATGGTCAACCCAACCTTTCTCCTCCAATCTTCTCATCCGACCTATGTATGCTTGTTCCTCTCTCGAATGAAACTAATTCACTTTACAATCTTCACATCGTCATGCCTCTTCACTCGCCGCGTCTTTTCCTTATCACTGCCTCTCACTGCTCGCCACGCAGTTACACATTCTGTGGGCTCGCTGCGGTGCTATTGGCTGGCGCTGACCCTTGGGAGCATCTCAACCTGCCGCTGCTCCTGGTCTGTATCATTGCCCCCCCCTCCTCTCCTCCAGTAAATATCCCTTTTAAGATTAATAAAATAACACAAGTTAGACAAGCACACTTCAAAGCAATGCCCTTTTCACCCCTTCCTGCTTCTACATCGTAGATTCGTACCTGTAGTTGATGTCGACGATTTTCTAGTTTCATTTCAGAACTAGTTGCTGCACCAGAATGCTCCTTCTTTGACAGCATCTCATCCCCTCGTTCTCCCAACCACCTCCTGCCCGACCTCTCCTTTGGCCACAACCCCTCCATCTCCCCATCACCCGTCCTGCCATCTTTCCATTGCAGGACTGGCTGGTGTTTCGGCAAGGCAGTGTGGAGGGGGGGTTTCAGGGGCGTAGCAACAAGCTGGTGGACGCCTGCTACAGCCTCTGGCAGGGCGGCCTCTTCCCGCTCCTCGCCCTCTGCTCCCCCCCCCGCCTCCCCAATGGCGATGCCAGCTCAGCACAGCAGCCAAACAACGTGAGCTTGTCGCCACGTTCGGACCGTATAGCAGGGGATCAGCAAGCCGTGCAGGCAGGTAGCGGCGAGGGGAGGGGGGTTGCTGGTGAGTCCGGTGGTGTTGCTGGGGATTCAGTGCAAGAAGGGAGGGGTGCTGAAGGCTGCTCCAGTGGAAGTGAAGGTGGTGGAGGCGATCAGAGAGGAGGAGATGGGGCTGAGGATGAGGAGGCGGATGAGGATGAGAATGAGGAGGAAGATGAGGAGGATGAGTGGGAGGAAGCAGATGTGGATTCGTTTCACCGTGTTCCCTTGGCGCCTGCTGCTGACCTCTTCCCTTGCCCCGAGTCTCTGCTACCGCCTGCTGGAGCTGGGGAGGGAGGCGAGAGGACGGGAGGAAAGAGGGGGGGAGGAGAGGAGAGCGGGGGAGAGGGTGAGGAGGGGAGGGAAGGGGCGGCAGATGCAGTGGGAGGGGAGTCAGGCGACAGGGCCACTGCACGTGGTGGGCGTGACTGTGTTGGCAGCTTCTGTTACAGCGACGTGGCCCTACAGGCATACCTGCTGCTCTGCTGCCAGGTTAGAAGTGTACCTCACCACACCTCCTCAAACCTCCCTCCACGCCACACCTCTCCCTCCCCCTTTGCATCCCGCCTCACAAATTCAGGCATCAGGCTGTTTCCTGCCTTTCTTTCATGCCAAGCCTTCACCTTTCTGCACCATCACCATGGTCCCCATGCCATTCCTCGCAACATCACCATGGTCCCCATGCCATTCCTCGCAACATCACCATGGTCCCCATGCCATTCCTCGCAACATCACCATGGTCCCCATGCCATTCCTCGCAACATCACCATGGTCCCCATGCCATTCCTCGCAACATCACCATGGCCCTCCTTGCAACTCACTACTCCTCTCACTTCGCTTGCCGTGCCTGCAGGTGCCAGAGGGGGGACTGAGGGACAAGCCAGGCAAGGCACGGGACTACTACCACACCTGCTACGCCCTCAGCGGTCTCACTGCGGCCCAGCACTCCCATCCAGTGACCTTACCCCACACCCATGCTCCCCAGCAAGCTGCGGCTAGCGTGGTGCAGGGAGTGGGGGGAAGTGTGTTAGGGCCTGTTTCGAATCTTCTGGCAGTGGCAGAGCCTCGCTGTAACGTCAGGCGAGACAAATATGACGAAGCGATTAGGTTCTACGAGGAGTGTGAGGCTTTGTTGTAAAACGCAATGCTTGCTATGAAAATGTATCTAAGAAACCTCACTGTACTGTTAGCGAAACTTTTCGTTTAGCGCGTCATTGAGAACCCAGAAATGCTTTGATGCAAGTGTCTTGAACTCAAGGCTTGTCTTACTGCAAGCCAAGAGCAACTTACTGAGCTCGGCGCGCAGCAGCCTCCGCAGCAGCAAGAGCGCGTGCATGCGCGGGCTTCCCTCAAGCGGGCGCCTCCTGATTGCCACGCTCACCCGCTCGATACAGTCACATCGGGCTCAGTCACCCTGCGCCCCGCACTCTTCTTTGCTCCAAAGCGCGCCGAAAGTTGTGTGGGCGTTGTTTCCGGGAGGTGCATTGGGATCTCCGCGCGCACTGGGAGCAGCGCGCGTATCGGAACTCGGGCGCCAAGTGATATCTGCGCGCGGGCTGACTTCCGCGCAAGCGGCCCCACGAATGGGGGATAAGCGCAAAGCGAACGGGGAAGGGGAGGCGGAGAACAAGAAGTCAAAGGCGGCGGTAGCGGGGGAAGAAGGATCCGCAGGCGCAGGGGGGGCAGCGGGAGGGGGAGGCGAGGTCATGGGGGGGCCCTCAGGGTTTAAGGTTTTGAAAGAGGGTGCAGCGGAGATTTTAGTACAGGGTAACGACGTGTTCTATAACAAGGCGCAGGTAGTTAATCGCGACCTGTCCGTCTGCGTGCTCCGCGCGTTCGTCACGGTTCGGCGGGAGGAGGAGAATCAGCGGGCCGCGGCTGTGGTGGCGGGAGTGAAGGGACGCGCGCTCCTGAAACACCCCAACGCGGACCTTGCGGCGAAATCTGCGGCGGCTGCTGCGGCGAAGCTTAGAGGCGGGGAGAAAGGGGGAGGCGCGGAAAAAGGGGAAGGCGGGGAGAAAGGGGAAGTGGGGGATCGGAAGGGGGAGGACAAAGAGGTGCTGGAGGGAGAGGGAAGAGCAGCGGAAGGGGCCGCAGGAGGCGAAGCAGGGGAGCGGAAGGAGAAGAGCGGAGAGGAGGGGGACGGCGCGGCTGCAATGATTGAGGGAGCGGAAGCGGGGGAGGGCCGCCAGCAGCAGCAGCAGCAGCAGCAGCAGCAGGCGAAGGTGGCTGAAGTGAAGCCTTTGAGAATCCTAGAGGTGGATTTTTTTTCTCTCTCCCTCGCTCTACCCTCTACCATGCATGCATGGATCTCACTCTCTCCTCTTATCCCACACTCCCCTTTTATATCTCACACTCTCCGCTTATATCACACTCTCCTCTTCTCTCACACTCTCCTCTTATCTCACACTCTCCTCTTATCCCATACTCTGCTTTTATCCCACACTCTCCTCTTAACTCACACTGTCCTCTTATCTTACACTCTCCTCTTATCTCACTCTCTCCTCTTATCTCACTCTTTCCTCGTATCTCACTCTCTCCTCTTATCTCATACTCTCTTATCTCACATGCTTCTCCACTCTTCCAGGGCCTGGCAGCGTCAGGCCTGAGGTCGATCCGGTATGCCAAGGAGATCCCGGGGGTGGGCACGGTGGTGGCGCTGGACAACGACCCCGTTGCCGTGCAGGCATGCCAACGCAACGTGGCACACAACTTCGGTGGTGCACCACCACCTGCTGCCACCGCTAGTGATGCTGCTGTGGCTGCTGAGGGGGAGGGAGGGGAGGGCAAGGAGGAGGGGAAGGGAGGGGAGGGTAAGCCGGCGAGTGAGGAGGGGAAGGGGGAGGGGGAGGCGGCAGTACCAGTGAGAGCGGAGCAAGGGGACGCGCGTGTGTACATGATAGTGCATGAGAAGCAGTTTGATGCGGTGAGTGAGTGTGGAAATGCAATGCAGTAGTTCCAGACGTATGGACACACTATTGGTACATTCACTGACCTAGCAACCTCTTCTGTCCACCCTTGATTGCTTTTGGTCTTCATACATGGGGCCGCGCAAGCATTGCCGGTGTTTTCAGTCGATTGACTCGATTTTGAGTTTACGAAAAAATCCAGACCTGCTTGGCTCGCTGTCGGTCTTCCTAGATGGGGCAGTGCTGGCGGAGGCAGAGACGTTGACTTAGTCAAAGTCTGAGTCAGCCTTAAAATCTACTCAAACATCCACCCTACTACGTTCGTCTCCTCAGGTGGATCTAGATCCGTATGGGACGCCGTCAGTCTTCCTGGATGGGGCGGTGCAAGCAGTGGCGGATGGGGGCATGCTGCTGGTGACAGCCACTGACATGGCCGTGCTGTGTGGCAACAACGCCGAGGTCTGCTACTCCAAGTGAGCCCATGTGTTAGGCAGAACTTTGATAACTGTTGGGGATCTGTGTTCAGGGTTTTTTTAGGTGCATATACGGATGGGGACCTATGCTGTTGGTGAGAGCACGAACGTGGCCGTGCTGTGCGGGAACAACGCCGAGGTTTGCTACTCCAATTGAGCTGCAGTTTAGAAGAAGAAAAAGGAAAACAGGTGGTTAGGACACTTCTGTTACCACCCATGCTCGCTGTGTGTCTGCCCTGTGTCATCGTTTGACTGTTTCAGATGGCATTTGAGTCGCCCCAAAAGTCATCCTCTGTATCTTTTGTGTGTCCTCTCTGTGTGGCTGTATCAGGTACGGGGCCTATCCACATCGTGCCAAGTATTGCCACGAGATGGCAATCCGCATACTGCTCGCCTCCATCGAGGTAACCCTCCCATGACTCATTTCTCTTAGCCGCCGCAGAGTTCACAGGAGCACCCATCATAGGGGCAGTGCTCATAGGAACATTCATCATCACCTGTTTCCATACAGTTGCTCCTCGTAGCGTCACGTTACACGCTGCTCATGCTGCTGCTGCCCCAGATTTCTTGTCTCGACAATCTCTCCTCCTGTCCTCAACAACCCCTTCGCCCTCTACGTGTGACACCACATGCTACACACCACATGCTACACACCACATGCTACACCACCCCCCCCTGTGCCCTGTGGTGGTGCCCATCAGAGTGCGGCGAACCGGTTCAAGCGCCACATAGTGCCCGTGCTGTCCGTGTCGGTTGACTTCTACATCCGCGTGTTTGTGCGAGTCTTCACGTAAGTCTGATTGGGTAGATGGAGTGTAGGTCAACTGCAGCACTGCAGCACTGCAGCACTGCACCACTGCAGCACTGCAGCAATGGATGATATGATCCACTGCTTCACTGCATTTCGGACCATCTTCCTGTGAGCACTCAACACACGCCGAATCAGTCTTCCACGCACTCAACACACGCCGAATCAGTCTTCCATGCACTCAACACACGCCGAATCAGTCTTCCATGCACTCAACACACGCCGAATCAGTCTTCCATGCACTCAACACACGCCGAATCAGTCTTCCATGCACTCAACACACGCCGAATCAGTCTTCCATGCACTCAACACACGCCGAATCAGTCTTCCATGCACTCAACACACGCCGAATCAGTCTTCCATGCACTCAACACACGCCGAATCAGTCTTCCATGCACTCAACACACGCCGAATCAGTCTTCCATGCACTCAACACACGCCGAATCAGTCTTCCATGCACTCAACACACGCCGAATCAGTCTTCCATGCACTCAACTGACCTGCCGTTCAGAGCCTTATGGCTGTCTTGTCTCCCCTTCTCTCTGTGCCTCCTCTGCTGCCTCCACGCTGCTGGCTGTTATCCGACCATCAGGTCAGCGCAGGCAGTAAAGGCGACACCCAGCAAGCTGGCATACGTCTTCCAGTGCTCTGGCTGCGACTCCTACCACCTGCAGCCCGTGGGGAGGGTTGTTGAGGGGCGCTCTAAGGTGAGGCTCTTTAAAGAAGACAATCAAAGTCGATGCCACAGACAGTCATGCCACCCAAGTGGTGTTCCACGTGCCTTGCACTGTCTCTGCCAGCAATAGTAATTGTGTTAGCTGCCTGCCTATCAGCCCCGTGGCTCATTCCTCATCTTCCTCTCCCTGCCTCCCTTCCCCATCTGGGAATGGGTGGGTACATATGGGCCAGGCAACATCTCATCAAGCAAACCGTGCTAAAGATTTTGAACTACAAGCTTCTCTTTTCTCCTCTTTTCTCCTCTTTTCTCCTCTTTTCTCCTCTTTTCTCCACTTTTCTCCCCTCAACCCCCTCACTTTTCCCTGCTCCTCCAGAAACCAGACGCTCCCCCTCCTCCCCCAAGATACCTCCCCGGCCTAGGCCCTGTAATTCCCCCCGCATGTGAGCACTGTGGGCGGCATCTGAGCATTGGAGGGCCCATGTGGTCGGCGCCCATCCATGATGCCAGCTGGGTTCGGCTGGTTCTGGGGGAGGTGCAAGCGGGGAAGGCGAGGCTGGCTGGATTCGGCAAGGTGCACGGGCTGCTGACTGCCGTGTCTGAGGTAGGGTGGGAGAGTGCGAAGGGGGAAGGGCGAAGGGGTAAGAGGGAAACGGGTAGGGAGAAGGGGAAGGGAGAAGGGGAAAAGAGGGAGGGCGATGCTGGGCTGCTGTTTATCAAGGTGCACGGGCTGCTGACTGCCGTGTCCGAGATAGGTGGGAAGAAGAGAGGGGAAACGGGAAGCGGGAAGTGGGTGAGAAGGTTTTTAGGGAGAGAAGTGCCACACTCAAATGCTCGCCCCTCGCCCCTTCCGCCCTTCCTCCCATCCATCAGTATGCCTCAACATGTAGCATGACTCCAGCGTCACATTCAAATGCACCCCTCCATCTCCCCCCCCTCCTCCCCCCCTCCCTACCTATCCCTCTCTCTACCCCAAGAGCTGCACGCCATCCCGCTCTACCTCGACCTGCATGAGATGAGCGCCAAATGTAATGCAGCGCCAAATGTAATGCAGCGCCACATGTAATGCAGCGCCACATGTAATGCAGCGCCACATGTAATGCAGCGCCACATATAATGCAGCGCCACATGTAATGTAACTTCACGCCCTTCTCCCCACCTGCCCTTCCCCTCCTATCCCTCTCTCCCCCACCCGTTCCCCTCCTACCCCAGGAACTACATGACATCCCGCTCTACCTCGACCTGCATGACATCAGCAGCTGCACACTCAAGTTCACGCCCCGTTCCCGCTCCCCTTTCCCCCATGCTTCTCTCTACCCCAGGAACTACATGACATCCCGCTGTACCTCGATCTGCATGAGATGAGCGCCACGCTCAAGTGCACGCCGCCCAGCATGCTGCTCTTCCGCTCCGCGCTCGTCAACGCAGGGCACCGCGTGTCAGGAGCGCACTCCAACCCGCTTGGCATCAAGACGGACGCCCCCCTCGGGCTCGTCTGGGACGTCATGCGCTGCTGGGTGAGTCATGCGCTGCTGGGTGAGTCATGCGCTGCTGGGTGAGTCATGCGCTGCTGGGTGAGTCATGCGCTGCTGGGTGAGTCATGCGCTGCTGGGTGAGTCATGCGCTGCTGGGTGAGTCATGCGCTGCTGGGTGAGTCATGCGCTGCTGTGAGTCATGCGCTGCTGGGTGAAGTCATGCGCTGCTGGGTGAGTCATGCGCTGCTGGGTGAGTCATGCGCTGCTGGGTGAGTCATGCGCTGCTGGGTGAGTCATGCGCTGCTGGTGAGTCATGCGCTGCTGGTGTGAGTCATGCGCTGCTGGGTGAGTCATGCGCTGCTGGGTGAGTCATGCGCTGCTGGGTGAGTCATGGCATGCGCTGCTGGGTGAGTCATGCGCTGCTGGGTGAGTCATGCGCTGCTGGGTGAGTCATGCGCTGCTGGGTGAGTCATGCGCTGCTGGGTGAGTCATGCGCTGCTGGGTGAGTCATGCGCTGCTGGGTGAGTCATGCGCTGCTGGGTGAGTCATGCGCTGCTGGGTGAGTCATGCGCTGCTGGGTGAGTCATGCGCTGCTGGGTGAGTCATGCGCTGCTGGGTGAGTCATGCGCTGCTGGGTGAGTCATGCGCTGCTGGGTGAGTCATGCGCTGCTGGGTGAGTCATGCGCTTGCTGGGTGAGTCATGCGCTGCTGGGTGAGTCATGCGCTGCTGGGTGAGTCATGCGCTGCTGGGTGAGTCATGCGCTGCTGGGTGAGTCATGCGCTGCTGGGTGAGTCATGCGCTGCTGGGTGAGTCATGCGCTGCTGGGTGAGTCATGCGCTGCTGGGTGAGTCATGCGCTGCTGGGTGAGTCATGCGCTGCTGGGTGAGTCATGCGCTGCTGGGTGAGTCATGCGCTGCTGGGTGAGTCATGCGCTGCTGGGTGAGTCATGCGCTGCTGGGTGAGTCATGCGCTGCTGGGTGAGTCATGCGCTGCTGGGTGAGTCATGCGCTGCTGGGTGAGTCATGCGCTGCTGGGTGAGTCATGCGCTGCTGGGTGAGTCATGCGCTGCTGGGTGAGTCATGCGCTGCTGGGTGAGTCATGCGCTGCTGGGTGAGTTCATGCGCTGCTGGGTGAGTCATGCGCTGCTGGGTGAGTCATGCGCTGCTGGGTGAGTCATGCGCTGCTGGGTGAGTCATGCGCTGCTGGGTGAGTCATGCGCTGCTGGGTGAGTCATGCGCTGCTGGGTGAGTCATGCGCTGCTGGGTGAGTCATGCGCTGCTGGGTGAGTCATGCGCTGCTGGGTGAGTCATGCGCTGCTGGGTGAGTCATGCGCTGCTGGGTGAGTCATGCGCTGCTGGGTGAGTCATGCGCTGCTGGGTGAGTCATGCGCTGCTGGGTGAGTCATGCGCTGCTGGGTGAGTCATGCGCTGCTGGGTGAGTCATGCGCTGCTGGGTGAGTCATGCGCTGCTGGGTGAGTCATGCGCTGCTGGGTGAGTCATGCGCTGCTGGGTGAGTCATGCGCTGCTGGGTGAGTCATGCGCTGCTGGGTGAGTCATGCGCTGCTGGGTGAGTCATGCGCTGCTGGGTGAGTCATGCGCTGCTGGGTGAGTCATGCGCTGCTGGGTGAGTCATGCGCTGCTGGGTGAGTCATGCGCTGCTGGGTGAGTCATGCGCTGCTGGGTGAGTCATGCGCTGCTGGGTGAGTCATGCGCTGCTGGGTGAGTCATGCGCTGCTGGGTGAGTCATGCGCTGCTGGGTGAGTCATGCGCTGCTGGGTGAGTCATGCGCTGCTGGGTGAGTCATGCGCTGCTGGGTGAGTCATGCGTGGGAGATGGGGGTAGAGGGGCTGGGTTATATATTCAGACAGCATGGGATCATGTGATTATGTATGATGCGATGATGTGGCATGTGAGCACGCGTGTGCAAGTTATGCATCACCCTCTCCATGTCCCACTGCCATGATGTCATTCATCCGACGCTTACGTGTAACGCACCACTCACCCCGTGCTCATGTGGTAACCAGATCCGAGACCATCCGGTGAAGTCCCAAGGGGAGGGCAGCCCAGCTGACACAATTCTGGCCAAGCCGCCCACCACTGAGGTACGACGAGTCCATGCACACTGTAAATGACAAAGGCGTTAAATATATATATATATATATATTATCAAATCTGAACGTGTTTTGCATGTGCAAGTTGCAGATGAGGGGAGGGAGTGTGCTGTTACTGTTTGTTGCCCAACTCCCGCACCTTCCTCAGCCCCAAATCACTTGCCCTTTCCCCCTCGTCTCTTGCTTCCCTCCTCTCCACCTCTCCACAGGTCAACTTTGCAAAAGCGCCCAAGGCTTTGAGTAAGGCTCAGCAGAAGGGGGTGGCTCGATTTGTGCCCAACCCAGAGGCATACTGGGGCCCTAAGCCGCGTGCTGGGAGGAAGGATGCCATTGCCATGGCTGTGTTAGCCCGGGAAGAAGAGGCGGGGCAGGCAGATGGGAAAGGGGATGAGGCGACTGAGTGATGTGGCGCTTACCGGTATGTGGCACTTGTGCGACACAAGTTGTCACCAGGAGTGATGGCTTGTGATGAGGTTATGACGATTGAGAGCTGGCTTTCCTGGTACTGGAGTACTGCCCAACAAAGTCTATTTTCTTCAATCTTTTGATTCCAATGGCATGCAACCTGCCCCATACATGGTATCTTCAATACATGCGGCCTTCAAATGATGTCTAGAGGACAGGTGAATCGAGCCCACTGAGGATTGAGACCTCCATTTTCTGTATACTTGAAGCTCCTGGACAAACAAAAATAGTATGAGCGATTTATATAGATTCCATAAACAGCATACGGTACTGTAAGTCTACGCATTGGCAATGATCTCATGCACCAGGTCGCTGATTGTGACATCCTCTGACCGCACAGCCAGCTTCATGGCCACCTGCTTCTGCGCATCCATGCCAAACGATAGCCGCACCAGGGCCGACACATCCCCTGGGAACGTCCCAGCGAGCAGGCACTGGTGCGAGCGTGCATTCGACGGCACGTTCTCGCTACTCTCGCACGGCTGCATGCCAAGAATTGTGATGACTGCCTCTACTGCCTCCTGCAGGCTGTCGCGCACGCCCAGCCCGTACTCGTCCACGCGCTCGAGAGATGGGTCGATGGCCTCCCATGCTGCTCTGAAGTTGGGCACACTCAGCTTCCGCACGTAGTCGGCCGATGACACCTAGAGAAGCAGAGAGGGAGAGGGGCAGCGGGGAGAGGGAGGCGGAGGGAAGATTAGGGGACATTGATGGGGTTGCACGAGGGGCAACATTGCGGCTGAAGTGTGTGAGTGGTGTGACCTGAGACCCCAGACAATCAAAGCGATACAGCCCATCCAACCGCGTAGCCAACTCACCTCGAGGTCTTCCAGTTTGTACTCGTCCCCATAACCCACCTCCTCAGCACCTCCCGTGTTGGGGTCCAACTCGACCACCTTGAACTTCATGATGTTCGTGATCTTGCCCAGCGTCAGCGCACCCTCGGGCTTCAGTCGACTAAAAAAACCTTCTCACCACTTCACAAGCACCACCTCCGACTCAAAGTCTCAGTCTCACCTCGAGGTCTTCCAGCTGGTACTCGTCCTCGTACCCCTCCTCCTCCGCATCGCCCGTGTTGGGGTCCACCTCGACCACCTTGAACTTCATGATGTTCGTGATCTTGCCCAGCGTCAGCGCACCCTCGGGCTTCGACAGCGCCACAAAGGTGTGCCCGGTCACGCCGTACGCCATGCTCTTGAGCGGAATGGTCGTCACCTCCTCGAATTCCTCCGCCTCTGCCAAGTCCATGAGTACGGTGACCTGCGGGGATGGCAAACGGAGCGAGGAAAGAACACCAAGCATTTATTAGGCGCTACAGAAGGACGTCTTATCAAATGCAAACTCTTATGCCTCTGCAATCTGCGAGCATTGTGACCTGCAAGGAAAGGACACGGCACAGAGGGAAGAGCACAGTAAAGTGGGAAACTGGGTAGAGAAACGCAGTTTACAGGAGATGAGATGCGGCCATACAGGAGAATTAGTTATAGCTGCAGGAGATGTCAGTCCTGCATAAACAGAGCACGGCAGAAACAAAACTCTTCGGCAATCAGAGGTGGTTCCATATGTGAGGAATGAAGAGGAAAGGCAAGAGGTATGCAGCACGGCACTCACATCCTGCAGCATCTGTTCGGCGATGGTGTTGGTGCAGTTGAACTGGAAGACCATGTGTGCTGGGAACACGTGCTTCACCACGTTCACACTGTACTCCGTCTCCGCCTCTGTCAGCTCCACTGGCGCTGATGACTGCAGCGCAAGGGAGGGGGGAAGGTTACGATGGGGCGGGGTGGAGGGGGAAGGGGAGGGGTTGGGGGCGGGGCCGGAGACATGAAGGAAGAATTCAGAGTGAGCTCGAAAGTGGAGTCACGGAGAAAAGCACATATACATATATACAGTTTCAATTGCATCTTTCAAGTGCCTGCCATCCTGCACTTAAGCCCATGGCAATATCTCCCCCTTCCCCCCGCTCCCCCACCCCTGCCCCTCTTGTTGCAGCCTGCCTCTGCACGCACCTTGAAGAGCTTGCCAAAGGTGGCGAACTCGGGGATGGAGTTGAGGAGCTTCTCATACGCCTCTGACGCCGATGCACCACCCCCGGCCGCCTTGGCCGCTGCTGCCTCCTTGGCCGCCTTCTTGGCGCCCGCCTTGGCGGGGGCCAGCCCCTTCACCTCCTTGGGGACGCTGTCTATGTCGAACGGCGCCTCACTCGGCTCCTGATGCGGGGAGGAGTGGAACAGGAGGAGGGAACGATGAGCATAGGCTTTTGTTGCGCTGCAGTCTTCAGTATGTCAGCAAGCACATGCACATGCACATGCACCCATGCATACATGCATACACATGCATACACATGCATATACACATGCATATACACATGCATATACACATGCATATACACATGCATACATGCTCTCAACCATCTCCACCTCCACCTTCCACCACATCCACAGGCACCCTGGGAGAACCACTCTAGTGTGTGGGTCACAGGGGAAAATGGTTCAGCGGGCCCCGCAGCGACTCACGTAGTGCTTGAGGGCGATCTCGAGGTTGACAAGCGGCACTTCGAGTGCCTCCAGCATGAAGTCGCTGGCGCCACTGGCTGCCACCGACTCCTGCCCGTCCCCCCCCAGCACGTTCAGGTACAGCGTTGCTCGGTCCCGCACCTGATGAGGGTGGGAAACGGATGGGGTACGAATGTCGTTAGTACCTTGGAAGGAAGAGATATACGAGGGGGTTTAGTGTAGGCTGGCTGGCTGCGTGATGCAGTGCAGACATGAGGCAAAGTGAGTGAGGGTGGAAGAAGAGCTAGGTTGGTTGTTATGACGGAATGCAGGAGGAAACTACGGGGTTCACCACACTTGTTGTGCGGTGTGTATGCGGTGTAAAGGTGGAATGAGCTGGGACTTAGCACCTCACCTCATCATCATTGTCGAACAGACAGCGGCGCAGGAGAGTGACAATGCGAGGCTGCACGGAAGCGATGGGGAAGAGGGAAACGGGAAGCAGGAAAGGGAGAGACACACACGGACAACAATACTTCAGACCTGGAGAGGATAGGAAGGACACAGTGCAGCCGAATCTCACTCAAGCAACGCTGCCACCAGTCACTTGTATCCACTCCTACTCAGTCCCAGCCCACACCCAGATATCCCAACCGTTCCCCAGCCTTCACAACCGCCGCCAGTCCAACCCCGACCCACCCGAAGGGCTTCCACTTGCGCGCCGAACTTGGCGAGCGTGCTGACAGCGCTGGCCCTGACAGTGGCGTTCTCGAGAATGACGCGGTTGTAGATGAAGCGGATGTACCGCGCTGGCTCTGGCGTCTTGGGGCCCTCGTTGCCCAGCAGGTGCAGAATCTGCCAGGCGTAGGTGATAGACAAGCCAAAGGCCCATGGAAGACTTGCACAGGGATTCAAAAAAGGAAGTGCACATGAATTACAAGGATGCGGATAAGGAGGAAGATGTTCTAAATCAGCACAAAAATAATGGGGGAGGGGTGGCGCCTGTCATTCTGCAAGAGAATCTGCTGTTGCCTGTCTCATGACAGCTGTTTGCAGCACATGGGAATCAATCTACCTGCGAGGAGAGGTAGGTGAACTCGCAGTCCTCAATGAACTCGCAGAGGTGTGAGAGGCCAATCTCCTTGGCGTCGGGGATCTCCCGGATGAGAATGAGGATGGAGTCCACAATCGCCTTCTTGTACTCGAACCCTCCCTCCTCCCGCAGGATACCACTCAGGAAGTTCATGCTGCAGAGATTCAAAACAGGGGATTGTGGTGAGTGCTTGCTCACGCATACAGTTTCAGTGTATCCGCGTTTAGCCCAAACGAAATCACAGCCTGAAACAAATGGGGAGCTGCTGGGCAGCAGAGAATAGACTGAAGCGAAAAGATGAGGCTGAAGGGTAAGCATTTTTTTAACGGAGGACCCGACTCACAGGACACGATATTTTTGAGGATATTTGAGGCAGAGCGAGCGAATGGCCTCCACGACGACGATCTTGAACTCATCGGCAATATCCGACATGAAGTTGGTGATCTGCTTCATCAGCCGGTCCACACTCGCCTCATTCCCCGTCTTCAGCAGCGTCGTGATGGCCAGCGTCGCAATGCTCCTGTTCGGGTCTGAAATCAGCGTCTCCATGTCAATGTTACAGTTGGTAACCGCCTGCGGGTGCGCCATGGCGACCTTGTTGAGTGTGCGGATGGCGGCGAAGCGCAGCACGGGCTTGGGCGAGGAGAGGAACATCTGGAGCACGGTGATGGCGGGCGTGAGCTCGCGGCCCGTGATGTCGGTGAGCTCGGTCATGGCGCGCGCTGCCTCCAGCATCACCATGTCCGCCCGCTGCCGCAGACAGCTCTCGAGGAACTCGAAGAAGGGGCGCGCGTTGTTGTTGTTGGGACCCATCTCCTCGATCACCTGGGGTGGCATGCACGCATGCCAATACACAAACCCCATGTATTGCAGAAGCAATGTATCGAATGCATTTGTGATGGAGTGATGTTGGTCATCTGCAACAGCTCGCGCACATGGCCGATGCAATAGCTGGCAGCAAGACACAGGCTGCCTGCTAGGCACGGAACTAATCTGGCAGTGGTGGAGGTTACCTGGGAAGTGTAGCGCACAAGCAGGCACTGTGCAAGCGGCGAGCGCACAGCACCTCGGACGAGGCTGGTTACCAGCTTGCTGATGGCCAGACGGTCGCTCTGCCGGATCTGTTCGACAGGAGATTCAGAGTGCATTAGACAAGACAGCAAGAGAGCGAAGAAATGGGTGATACAGAAGTCAGCGTAAATGGTAAGCAGGTAGAGCAAGCAACAGTATAGAGAATGGGTAGACGGAGAGCAGGCAGAGGAAGAGCAGCGTGGACATTGGTACAAGGGAAGGCTGACCTGGTGAAGGAGAGCAAGGGCATGGAACTGGACAAGAGGCGACTTGGAATGCA